CACAGGTTAACATTACTTCAATAAACACTTAAAAAGACCTTGTATCTGTTGGAGCTACATGATAGTGTGTTATAAACTATTTATCAAATCTTTATGTACCGCTTAAAGGGGTGAGGGGTTAAAATAACCTGTCACCGATTAATTTTATATTTCTGAATGCAAGGTTATAGAAAAACCCTTTTCAATTTCAGCACTTCTGCGGAAAGTGTTTAAGGAGTCATTACTCATCTTCATGTTGGTTTGTGTGTAGCAAAATTTAAAATAAAATGACTAAAAGGATTATATAATGACATCCCTACATAAGCGAGGGTGGTTTAAATTGTCAGATAACTGTCCGTTTTTTGTGTCTATAGTTTAAACAAAAGCATAAAATGTATTATATGAAGATTATTTATATCAAAGTAAAAACAACATGAGACATGGTGCTTGGCAAAAATGCAAATCAGGATGCAAATGTGCTGTACAACCTCAGGCAGTGATAACTTTGACCTTATGGAATCATGGACTGAAAATACTTTGAGCCAACAGATGACAATTTTAGATTGTAAAGCACTTTGGATAAAAGCGCTAAATAGAGCAGCCATTTAGATTACCTTTATCATAATATTTAACTAAAACTGCTTTTGCTGTGTCTGAATACAGAAACTTTTACTCTCTCTAAAATCAAATTGCCTTTTGAATGTTTCTTGTCACCTTAAGGAAACATTAATGTAAAAGAAAGATGTAGAGGACATGTGACGCACATGCATTTCACATGTAATGCCATAGGTTTCACATGGCAATTTACATGAGTTTCACATATTACAACCTGGTAAATGTTCCAACATAACGTTTCCATGTGCACAGTACATATTTAACATGTGCAAAGCATGTTTTCCACATATTATTTTTGTCTAAGGGTCTCTAATGTGGTTCATTTTTAACGTGGTGGTGAACTGTTGGATCATTACAGATTCTTCACACAGATTACTTAAAAAAAAAAACACAAAAAAACAGGACAGAAAGGGGCGTGCTTTGAGAAAGCCACAGGGCATTAGAAAGCTCTGCGTGTGGAGTAAAAAGGTGAGGACAGGGATAACCGGACAGCTCCATAAATCCTTCAGTGGGTACGTGCTCCCTCTGACTGGTCCGGGTAATGCGTACAAAGGAGGAGGTGAGGTGTGAATAACGTGACCACTGACTCCCAGGACACAGCTGCCTCCCCCTGAGCCCGGCCACAATAGAGACAAGCCTGGAACCCTGTTTCCCTGACTCCCTCTCTGTTGTAAGCATGGCAGCATCAAAGCAGCAGGATTCCCTCCAGTGCTCACGTCCTGTGTTTGCGTCCACTGTTCCTCTGCCTCATCTGTCCTGTGACAAGGCATACATGTTGAGAAATGAGCAAACATTATGAGCAGTGAAAGGAATGAAAGCAGAGGTACTTCTGCTCTCTGTACATTTCACTTAGACATGATATACTTGTTTCTTAATTAGATTTATTTGACAGAATATATGATGAGTTTATGTATTCCAAAACATTATTAAAGATTAAACCAGTGGTTCCCAATTGTTTTGGCTTGTGAACACACAAAAACAGTGTCTGATTTGGACCCCTTTGAATGAACATTATTTTTTTCTCGCATTAATCATCACAATTTTACCACAGCCCTTGTAAAACTCCTTAATTGCATGTTTAGTTGTTGTTGTTTTTTTCATTGTTGTATTGCTGCTATTAATTGCCATTAGGTGAGAAAAACAATGGATAAAACTATCCAACATATCCGGTAAAGTAATCTTATTGTAAAGTGGTAACGCAGGTGAGACCAGGCACCCCTTTGAAACCTCTTTCATGTTGGTGTGTTTAAGAACAAACTGACTAATCTCCTCCTGCAATCTATGTAACAAAAAGGTAAAGGGCCACTTAATCTCCACTGTGAATCTCTGTAGTTTGATTTTGTTAATATACTGAAATGAATGGAATACAATAGTAGTCAGAAAAGAAGGAAACACATCTAAATATTTATGTCAGGCTGCTTTGGAAAATGCCAGCCAGTAATGTACTGTACCACAGGTTTATGCTCTGATACATCATTTCTTGAAAAAAAAAGTAAGTAAGTAAAAAGTACAAAGTGTATGGGAGGTGATGGTGTAGTGGATAAGACACATGCCTTTGGTGTGAGAGACCTGGGTTCAAATCCATTGTGAGACACCAATGTGTCCCTGAGCAAGACACTTAACCCCTCGTTGCTCCAGAGGCGTGTGACCTCTGACATGTATAGCAATTGTAAGTTGCTTTGGATAAAAGCGTCTGCTAAATGTTACAAAGGGTGCATTTTTAAATGGAAGTTTTGCCCTGTGGCTTTAACGCCCTTGTGTGTCTCCTGGTCGTCATGCAGCTGCCTGGCATTGAGGAAAAGGAGAGCCAAGGTCCAACCACCTGGCAGAGAGCCCAGCCAGACTCAGGAAGTGTCCGTGAGAGGTGGGGGTGATGGAGGGTGGGGGTGGTCAGAGGGTGCAGGCACCTCCCTCTCCATTCAGCTCCGCACCTCAAAGCATTAGTAATGCATTCCTCCAGTCCAGCACCAAGCAGGGTAATTCAATTTCCTCGACAGTGAGACCGTGTGAAATTTCATTTGCATCTCTGGGTCTGTGTGTAAGACGGGTTGTAAAAACCTCTCTGCCTCCATCATGCTTTGTTCACTGCTTTGTTTGGTTCGGCCCCCACAATAAACAGCAGGGAACCCAGGAGATGATGTAATAACTGAGACAGAAAATAGCTTGAAAGAGCAGAAAAAAATGTTCAGGAAATTTAGTAGTCTGCAGTTTTCATCCTAAAGACACATTTTGAATGAGTGATGAAAGTTCAGCGAAACATTTATAGACCAGATAATAAAAAACAGCAAAGCCTGGTCCAAATATGTTAAATCTACAGTATGCAAATATACAGTATGTTTTTAAGTTAAAGAAGGTCCACTCCATCTATCTTGTTATAATCAATTTCAACCCCCAGACTTCCACATAAGAAGTCAGTGTTTGGGGCAACAGCAGCTGGCTGGCGTTATGAAGGAAGTCGATAAAACCAGACTGGTGGCCCGGCGCTGACTCTGACCTCTCGCCTGCTGTCGGCTCAGAGGGATCAGAAACACAACACACTGCCTTTCTGCTCCACTCAAAGTGCATGCGGGACTGTGTCAGTGCACTGCAGAAGGAACAAATGCCTGCATACACATATAATTACCAGGAGAAATACCTCTGCTACTTTCTCCAGAAATCATGCACATTCTGTACAAAAAGGTAGACAACATCAGTCTTACATCTTTAGAAGGAACTGAATTAGAAAAAAAAAATCTGCATTCCAAATTACTCACCAGTAGTGTAATGTAACTTAGTAAATTACATGTTGTATTTTACTTCAGTGTTTTCTCTTAATGCTACTTTATACTTCTGCTTCACTTCATGTCAGAGGCAGATGTTATAGTTATTACTCCGCTACAATTGTCTGTCACTTTTCCTACTTGGAAACATGATATGCTTTTATGATATGATGCAGTACTGTGCTGCTAATCTACACAGTTGTATACAAAGTATCCAAAATTGGCTCCACATTGTTGGACTACAACATCACTAAATATTAAAGGTGCCGTTCTGCATACTGTTTACTTTTATTTTTTGGAACTTTAAGTATATTTTGATGATAATGATTCTGTATTTTTACTTAAGTAACATTTTGAATTAAGTACTTTTACTTTGGTAAACTTTGGTAATGCTCAAGTAAAGGATTTGAGTACTTATTCCTCAACTGATACACTGGTAAGCTTACATAGAAATTAAATTAGGCTTTTATTTTCTTAAAAGGAAATCTCAGGTATGAACCTCTTTCATTTTTGCTTTTGCAGCAGTCTTACTTTTAACTTTTTTATGTGCATCACATATTCATAATAGTTTGTTCATCAGAAAAAGAAACAAAAAAAAACATCTTTACTAAAGACACATTATAATTCACACACCCTTTTAATATTTGGCAATTATTTCTTGTGTTTACAGCTTATTCTTCAAGTTATATGATTATATTGTTTATAGTTCACCTCCTTATATATAGCACTAATACATGTTTCCTGTTTTTTTAAAATTTGCTTAGTGTTACAGGCCCTAGATCATCTAGATGGAAACTTTTCAGTGTCTCCAGAGTCTGCTCATTCGTTTCAGGAAGAATGTTAAGTTTTCTCTCTCTTATCTCCTGTGATTATTGTAAATGAACGGGGTGTGCGCTCTAGTGTAACTATGTGACACCTATCTTACGCGGCCATTTTGATCAGGTCTCTCTTGTGAAATAGAAAATGTATCTCAAGGGACCTCCTGCTTAATTAAAAACAGTGAAGGCAACATTAAAATCCTCCAGGTAGCATTAAAATATACTTCACATACTACTCTTTAAACCTACTAGTAGAAAATGACCATTTGTTGGTCTGGGTTAAAAGTGTTTGTGACTATAACTGTTAGGGCTGCAACTAACAATTATTTTCATTGTTTATTAATCTGTCAATTATTAATCGATTAATTATTTAGTCTATAAAATGTCAAGATGACGTCCTCAAATGTCTTGTTTTGTCCACAACCCAAAGACTTTCAGTTTACTGTCATAGAAAAGTAAAGAAACATGAACATATTTAAATTTAAGAAGCTGGGATCAAAGAATTTTTCTTTAAAAAAAAAATGACTTAAACCGACTAATTATCAAAATAGTTTAAGAGATTAATTAAATAGTTGACAACTAATTGAGTAATCATTGCAGCTCTAATAATTGTATTGCATCACATATCAGCTCTTATAATGTATATATGTTGAATAGGACAGTAGTGGTTTCTTTGTTCTACTTGTTGAAACACAAGAAAAATAGTGCTAACATAAAATAAACGACCAGTACCTGTGTAAAAGTTAATGGCGTGACAAGGCTGGCAGTGGAGTTATGCTGCTACCTAGTGTCTGTTCCTGGTCAGGAGGTAATAAACAAGCAGATGCGCTACAGTTAAGGTTTGTTTAATTTCAAAACACAGCATTCAAGCACAATATAACCACAGGTTTTACATGTACACATTCTAGAGCAATGCAAAAAAGATGTATATAAAAAAAAACAAGATTATATCTATGGTGACCCCCTCCCCCCAAAAAAGCATAATGAAACATTTAAATCTATTTATCATATTCACATTAAAGAAGCAACACATTGTGCTCTAAAATGAAAAAAACACCAACCTATGAGCAACTCAAATAGAAAATTGTTTGGTTTTTTTTGTTTTATTTAAAAAAGAAAAGAAAAAAAAAAAGAGTGAAATAAGCTTTAAGAAATTAAAAATGAAAGGTCAATTTCAGGCATTTTTTTCTTTCATGTTTATAATCTGAACAACAGCCTCACATTACAAACGACAAAGAGAATATGACTACTACCCGAAACAGAAAGATTGCATCAGTGTAATATTGTTTTACAGAGCATAAATGATTTGAAAAAAGTCAGGCTCATTTTTCTCATTTGAGAACCAGGTGCTGTCAACTTTACAAACTGGCCCAAAGTAGACACATTTAAAAAGATATTCAGATAGTAAAAGAGTTGTGCTTCACTTGTTGGCACAGTCTCAAAAATCACCTCATGTACAGGTCAAAATGCACATTTAAGAGCAAGTTGAAGCTGAAGCTGCAGAAGTATCTCACTCACAGGTGTGTGAATGATCGTCATGCTTCAACAGGAAAGTCCGATTTCCTTTGCTTTCTCTATAATCTGGAAATTGTCAGAGTTAACACAATCCCTTCACAGCATCCACTCACACGTATCTACTTTTGTTATAAATGCTAAAACACATTTGGGAGACACTGCACCGCCAATGCATAAAGTTTCTCTTTTAAACTTTCCTAGAAACTGCGATATGCATTTTTTTTCACATAAACTTGCATTAAGATTCTTGGTGTCAGTGAACTGTTAAACCTCTGCACTAAGATCAGAGTCAAGGATGTGTATGTCTGTGGACAACTCCCAGTTCTGTTAAGGAGAGATGAGGTTTTACAACTTTACAAGAACACGTAGAGAATAACTAGCAGTCTGGTGAAGAGGCAAATTATCGTACAAAGTTCGGATTAATGCTGCAGGAGACATCACGCACAACTCAGTCCTCCTCTGCTTCATTATAGTCTTCACAGGGCTGTAAAAAAAGTTTCTGCTTCCAGTGGTATAAAAATGCATCTTCTATGTCACACTCTTGTTTGTTTAGTTTTTTTTGTGGGGTGGGGGTGAACATCATCATCATCCCGCTGTGACCCTTCTTGTCAAACAGCTGCATTTCCATCTTGCAGCTCATCTTTGTCCTTATCAAATCCTCTGAGAGCATGTGCCAGAATCAAGTTCACAGGCTTACAAGTTACAGTCACTGCTGTGGAATAGTGGCTCATCAGTGTGCAAAAAAAAAAACAAACAAACAAAAAAAAACATACCAAACAGAAATGCCAGGACAGGAAAGAACAGTGTCCCAAGGAGGAAAAAGATTTCAGTTTCAGACCTGTAAGACATGCAATACTGCAGGAAAACTGGTCCCAGACATTTGATTTAACACAAAACACAACAAAAGAAACTGCCAATGTGCATGTGCAATTTACAGTATGCCGACATTAACTGGAGAATAATGCAAATTCTTACTGGTTGACTCAAACATAGCAGACCTGCATTTCAAGTTCCACAAGCAGACAGAAAACCTGAGGGACTGAGATGTCGCACCGTTAAGTGAATCTATTCTACGACAAGTTTGATCTTTCTTGAGTGTGCTATGTGAGAGATAATGTCTACACTTCCGTTGGGAAGAAACCAGTTGATTCCTCTCATATTTATGTGTAAGGTTTTTCACCCCCACCCCCCCAGCGATGAGAGAGTGCAGTACAGTACTTCAACAAAACCAGTAGTAATCAGTGTTAGGCTATGAGCACTTCCAGAGTCCTCAACACTGCAATGCCTTATTAGATGTGACACCGTGTATGTCGTGGTGCATTCATGTGTAAAGAAATTTAAGAGCGTAAAAGTCACATCATAGTGGCAGGTGAACTCCAGCACCAATGATGAATCTAGTGATGATAAAAATAAAAATAAAAAAAAAAAAGGTCACTGAAACTGGAGAAAAAGCATGTCCTGACTAATGAGATGAGATCTGATGATCCGCAGGACGTCCTTAAGTTCTGCTTCAACCAATCAGCAAAAGATCATTTGGTTTTCCATTTAAGTGGAGTGAGAAGGTGGAGGAAAGCAGGCGGAGGAGCGACTGAAAGGCATGAGAAATAATGGCCGACAGATCTCAGCGACGTCAGTGCTGTAGACGCAATGAGTACAGTGTTGTCTAATGTGCTGCTGGAGGGTTATTGGGATCTGGTCGGCTGTTGGCCAGGTACTTGGCCCGCATGCTGGAGGTGTACTGTGGACAGAAACAGAAAATGATACAGACGATGACGTGAATCATGGTTTCACCCTTTATAGTAAAATAATTAATTACAAGTAGTGAATAAAGGTGGGGGGAATCACTCCTGTCTTTTACAACAATTTAAATAATTTCTCATCGTTATATGATGATGAGGTGGTTTTAAATCTGTTGGAATAGCAAACAGATTCAAAGGCTCACTGCTTTGATAAGAAAGAAAACCATTCTGGTAATTAAAACATCAAAAGCAGCAGTAAAGGAGCATAAATATATACAGATTGGACATGCACAACAAAGCACTACAGAATACAATACATTTTTTCTGATTATACTAAATCCTACAGATTACCTTCCACACTAGTTACTCCAGAGAGCTGGAATCTAAAGGAATTGTTAACAATTCAAATACAGAAACAACATCACAGAAACTGCTACAGAGGACAAGGACATCAGAGTACAAGGAATTGTATAAATATAATTATTTCACTTTTGTTTTAACCCTCATTGCGCATCGGCAGGGCCAGTCATTCGTTTACATTTAGGATGCACCCATGCATTTTGCAAAACAGGCGATACAAGCACACAAAGGCTGCATTGCAAACTCATACGAACACAAGTTGATTTGGTTGTTTTTTCCCCATAGTGATTTCAGGAACATTTTCATTTGTCATGATCAACCAGGCAGCCCGTTGAGCATGTGAACGCTGAGAGTCGACCCCGATATGCGCTCAACTAAACACCACAACTTACCTCGGATGTTAAAGAAAAAGATGTATTATTAGACATTGGCCTGAGTTTGTCTTTTTAATCTCTAACTACAACCATGTGCTCATTTTGAACAGCTCATTTTGAACAGTTCATATTTGAGTAGTACAGTATATTTGTTAAATTGGTGCGGGTTTACTGACTTTTCATTTTGAGATAATAAATCTACTGTGTAACATTTACACATTTTTGTAGTTGTACCACCAAATACACCTACTTGTGGTATTAAACTGCCTACATGATAATTTCATAAGCACGGCCAGTGTTTACTGAATATCCTCTACAATATTTATTTTCCATGTTACAAACCCAATAATTGAATCCTTAACACCTACCAAATGCAGGTGTGTCCACTTTTACTCTTTAACAACCCCGAGTTCACCTTTAAACCCAAGAATCAAGACAAAGCAAATCCACATGATCAGTGAACTGGTTTAACTGCTCCTTAATTTGATGCTGAGTCGGTGACGGTAACTCATTGGTCACAGCGAGCCAGGGGGCAGAGTTACAGCTTCACATGTTACTCCCAGCATATCTATGGTGCCGTGGGGTAGGGGAACATGCAGCCCAGGGCCACAGGAGACAAACATCAGGTGGGACACTTAGCAAGAGTCAGGACAGAGGAAGGGGTGGGGAGAAGGGGGGAGGGGGACCAGTAGACCTGGTGGGACCTGAATACAGGGTGAGTGGAGCTGGGAGTTTGGGAGGTGGTACAGAGGAGGAACCAGCAGGTGGAGGAGGCGGGCATGTTTTGTACCTGTTACATAGCAGATGAGGTTACCAAAACGATCTTGAACTCTCCGAAGGCTTTAACTGCCAGCTGTGACCGCTGTTACTGTCCGCGGCAGTCAAATACAACTGTATGGATTCGCAGACAAGAAAGAAAAAAAAAAAGAAAAAAAAAAAAACACGACAAGAAGAGAGTATAGAGAAGATACACAAAGCAGCATCTCTAAGTCCTGGCAGACACAGAGACACCAGGGAGGGTAGGGTCTCTGGTAGAGGTTCAGGCCGGGGGGAGGAGGGAATGATTGAAGTTTGTTGCTAATGCAATGTTCAAACTCTGTTTCTACCGCTGCCAACTTTGTCAACTTGTAACAAGTTGCATTTTCAAGTTTTTCCCACATAAGTCTTCACTGACAGCTGCATAGGATCAAAAACACAGAATCCTGCTCTGTCACTGTCCATAACTTGTACTCTTTTCTTTTTCTTTACCCAAGGACTTTTTGGTCCTTAGGTAAAGTTCCTCTAGACAAATAGCAGCATACACATAGAGTATAGGCTATAGGATCTATCCTGCAAAAAATCTGCCAATCTGATGACACCAGCAATACTTCCCAGTAAGCATACAAGTGAGCTCTTTAAATATAAAAACAAATGTGACACAGAGCTGTCTGCATGACGAAGGTCTGAGGATCAAAATATTGTTAATAAAATGAGTACAAGTGATGAACGGTGTGCAGGATTCTTTTGTTTTCTTTCCAACTTTAATCAAGTAAAAGTCAGAAAACAATTCATATTTATTAGGGAAATACATTTTTGTTTTGCTCCCTATCCATAAAAGAAACAAAACTAAAAGGTCGAGTTGAGCGCTGTCAGAGATTCAGCTTATTCAGGTTATGTTTTGGAAAGGGTGCTCTATATGAAGAATGATCTCTTCTAATTCTAATGTTCTACCATACTATCGAGTGCTGTATACTGTTAAATACATGCCATCACCAAATGGGAATCATTGTTTATCCATGTTTCTAAATGTATGTTTATGTGGCTCCGAAGTAAATATGTACACTGTTAAAGCTTAAAAAGGTACAGTGATGTACAGTGGAGAGCAGGGTTCTATAATGTACAATGGGGCATTTACAACGCAGCAACTTTTCCCAGGGAACCAAGAACATTTTGAGGAACTCAGGAACTAAACATGCATTTCGATCCAGAAGAAGAAGGGACTAAAGGTTCCTTACTATTTATTAACGTTACAAAAGTTAGGCTTAGTTGTCAGCTTGAATGTGTAAACGGGCTGACCGCTGGAGTTAACAGGAGAGAGAAAGCTGTGGTCGAACCACCTAGAGAGTGGCAATGAGGAAACAAAGTGAGTGAAGGAGAGAAATAACTATTTGCATGCGGTTATGTTCTGAAGCAGAAAGAAATGACCATTAAAATCTCAGCAGATTTTCTAATGTGGAGACTCTTCAGTCTCCTCCTCCTCTGCTTCTGCTTTTAATTAATTGACTAAAGCCGACTCAAACATCAAAGTCTAACAACAGCAAATATAAAGAACAACATGACTGTATGAAACTTTTTGTTTCAAAGCTGCTGGTGTTGTTTCATCTGCCATTGCTCTAATCTTCAAGGTTCGTCAGATGCGATGGAAACTCCTAGTTCCTAGTTTAGTTCCTGAGTTTAGTTCCTTTGGTTCCATAATTTTTGGAACATTTTGGTAGAAAACGGCTAATGGTCCGTCACTCACAACAAGGTGCCAGATGTGTTTCTACAGTTGTTACTGGAAAACGACACTTACCGAGGGGGGAGGAGACTCTCGTCCTATCAGAGGCGTGTTTTCACAGCGCGAGGTCTGAAAGTTGGCGTTCTGAGCCCTGTTGAGTTAAACACACAGTAAGGTCAAACACAACAAGCTAAGAAGTGCATAAATCCACAAACATGGCTTTAAAGATATGAAACAATATACTGTATACATGACAATCAGCATACCAAGGTCATGCTAACACAGAGTCAGAAACTAGGGGATCCCCCTCCCCCTGGTTCCCTAACACTGAGCTTGACCCATGAGGCAGAGAGCTTCGGGTTTCATGGGCATCACAGCTGGAGAGCAGCAGCTGCATTTGCTGGCCACTGCATGACTTTCTATAGGAGATCCTAGCTCCTCTCTGGGGATATAAAAGCTGGCTCCTGAGTAAATAAGGTATCTAATTTCAGCCACACTATGCACAACTCTGAGATGTGAAAATACATGATCTACCACTCCTGCATTTCACTTAGTGCAGCTCTCTATTAAAATCCACTGAGGCAGTGGTGACTTACATGTACTCAGTTACAGGTGCGTTGCTGACGGTGTGGGCGGCAGCTGGGATGGAGGTCTCGCTGCCGTAGCTGCTGCCACAGCTGTACAGGCTGGGCATGTGGACGCGGTACAGGTTATCATGGTTTTGTCTTCCCCCGTGGCTCAGAGACTCATCCTCACTGTCCTCGTCGCTCCTGCAAACATCACACAACACTTAAAAAAAAAAAAAAAACAGCCGCCACCAGGGGGACCCCCTGTCCTATCCCACTGATGACAAAGGAGCACAGAAGCGCCACGTGGTCACATTTTGTGCTTATTCTCAGTCACATTCTGATTCAATTTCATCGCTGCCTGAGGGAGGGAAAAACATGCTCTCTGAAATACAGAAGACACAGTTTTCCATTGACCTTAATGGGACTGAACAAAGACAGTAAAAATAGCCTCATGTAATTAGTTTAGTTCCTGTCTGAAAATTAAAAGCCCTGATTCTGCATCAGAACAATGAATGATTTGTCCACGTTGTCAAATAAAAGCAGTAGCCAACTTCTGCAGAAGGAATGTGAGTCTGATTTGATTCTTTCCAAACAATGAAGCTCACTAGGGTATGTAAAATAACAATAACGCACTGATCACTGTCGAAACAGAGCAACAATGACACCAACATCATGGAGCCTGTCTCCCTCTAGTGTTCATCTTTTTCCTGCATCTTTAATTCTTGAGATCACTGACTTTGATTCAGTGTAGCTTACAATACATTTACTGACCTCAGTGTGCATATCAGAGAAAAGAGCAAGTTACTCACCAATCAATTACGAATTCTAATATTACTCTAGAAATGCTAACAGTCAATATTAATCATAAATCTCCATATAATCGCAGATAGGGTAAAATAAATTAGTATTCTGGAATCACTACAGTAAAACAGAACAAGCTTAGCAGGACCACTGAGAAAGACTGGTAGCGTGTAAGCCTTTGCTTTACAACAGGAAGCTCCAGCTGAGATCAAACTGATAAACATGCCCCCCAATGGTTAGGAGGGATCAGTTAATTATGTGGTGCAGCTGAGCTGGCAGCTTTGCCTAGGAAACCACTTTCCTCATAGCCATCCTGCAAACCTTATCTGCTGCCGATAGGACAAAAATATCTGAATTACTTTACCCCTCAGCCACAGAAAAAGACACCAGCACGGGCGGTGCTTATGATAGATTTAGGCCAACTCTGCACAATTAGGGGGGATAACAGGAAGCAATCTATTTGAGGAAGCAGCTGGTGCCTTCTGGACACATCCCAGTGGTAAAAAAAACAGTCTTTGAAAAGCAAACAAACACAAGTATTACACATAAAGGAATTGTATTTCCCTATCTGTGTATATTCATCCTGAATGACTTTTTATGCTTCATTCCCAAGTGCTGAAAAGGGTTAGAGGAAATGCTATAAAAAACCATAACTAATTGATAGGCTTACCCTCATTAATTATTTCTCACTGTATACACAGTCCTGCACAAAAACTCAGCTTAAAAGCCTTTGCAGTGGTTCCAACGTGGTTGTGAGTTGAAGGGTATAGGTGGCCAAAGGATGTCTTACCTCTTAGCGTGCCAGGTGTGAGGCACACTGCAAACAATCGAGCTGAACATGAGAGCAGTGACAAAGGAGAAAAGCACGAGGTAGATGAGGCCTTCCAGTCCGTCATAACACAGCCCCGTCATGGCCTGGACATAGTCCTGCAAAAAAAAAAAAAAAAAAAAAAAAAAAAAAGGGGGGGGGGGACGACGACACACCACTTTTTATTATAGCAGGCATGACCAGATCAGAGTCTACTCAAACATCTAAAATAATTTCAGTAACCCTAGCAGAGGTAGTAAAATGCTAGAGTTGCTGTTTTAAAATTTTGGCACATGGATTCTGAGAGAGTCTTTAACATGCATCCGCTGTGATTTCTCATTTAAACTAGGTCAACCCAATGAGCTCACGGTTGGCAAACTAGAGGGAAGGCAATGCCTTTTACCTAGGTTTGAAAAGAAGCCCTGTGCTCCACAATATCATGATTGAGACTCTACGTTCTGTATGCAGAAACACGTATCTCGTCACGATTTGTATCCTACCCAAGATACTCTATTTTCATGAAATAATAAGCTTTGGCGTGGTAACAATGTAGATGTTTGAGAGTAAGGGCAGAGCAGAAAGCAAAAAGAAAGTGCTACACTTGCACATGTGCACTTGGAATTTGGCTGCCACTGAGGGACAATAATCCAAAGCTTGGCGATAGCCAAGTACTTGTCATTCAGCTTCATAAATGGTACATTGCCAGAATCAATTTGACAAGACATCGCATACAGGAAGGCCAACATTGTTAATGGTGACAGGTGTAGTCAGCTGCACAAGCATAGAAAGAGGGGTTGCTTTATGCAACTAAGTTGCACTACAAAGATGTCACAACAAATCCATCGCCAGGCCCATTTTCATCAGACATGGAGAAACTCCGGAGTAACAATGTCTCGTTTTCTGAGTCTTCTCCTCCCTGCTCACCATGTGCAGGCTGCGACAGTCCACCAGGGCCGTGAGCTGATGCAGACTGATCTCCGTGGTGTTCAGAATCCCCTGGATCTCTTCCAAATTTCCCTGAAAAATGAATGCGGGGGAAAAAAAAAAAAAACACCCACACAAAATGTTGAAACAGGCTTAACTTGAAATCCAACTTTGGCACCCGAGTATGCTCGGATGCCATGACCAAACATAACAAAAGACATTTGAAAACAAAATAGATTAGTATAATTCTCATTGTCTACATAACAAAAATGCAACAAAGTGGTAGTTAACCTGCATATACATGGTGTAAACAGTCAAGAATAAGAAAACGTAAACATTTGCAAAAAGGAAATTAATTCACTGATTATTCATTCTACATCAGGGATGTGTCTTTCATCAATATACGACAGTACACAGCGGCTCCAGCTGAAAAAGCAGATTTTAATGTATGATATATTTTAACGGATGTTGGTTTCCCTTTTTCCTCCAGTTCTCATTACAGCTCCAGCAGCTGATTGCCTGATAGAAACATTTGCACAACCTCAGCACATTTCTCTGTGTGGGTATGTGAAGTGAGATATGCCTCTCTCCATTCCCAATGTCAGCTCTCATTTGTGCCTCTGTCAACACAGTGTAAGGACCAGTGCTGGACAATACCACAGTGTTGTACTGACAAGGGCCTGTGAAAGCCTAATGCAGCTAAATGGACATAATGCAGTTCCCAGGTGGGCCGTCAGCAGATCTTTATATGTGGACAGGTGCTCTTTGCTTCTCTGCAGGTCTGTCGTTTGGTCCCATTCACTGGGATATTCTGTCATCACAAACAGTACAATAGTACAGGACAGCTTGTGGCCTGGGGGCAGAGGGGGGTGTTTATGGTAACAGCTACCCCGTAATGTGGCATTTCTATTTAAGAGTGTATTGATGGGGCCGGAAACACACCTTAGTTTCTTTGTACTCTCTGGTGGCAGAGCGCAGCAGTTCAGACACGTCATCCTGCATCTCCACTAATGCTTTGTGGCTCCCGGAAAGCTTCTGAAATAAAGTATGAACACCGTAGCAGCCCAGCACATCTCAAAAGAATTTCCATTTTTTAAAAACACTAACAAGTGCCTTCAGTTGTCCACATCTAGTGGAAGCATGCAGACAGCTACAAGCCTTACAAACTACACATAGCTTCCTTTTCTTTACCATCGTACTATCAATAGATGCCTGGACTATAGCAGCACTCAATAGTTTTAATTCTTTCATGTTGTTTGCAAGATAAACTAGGAAAAGGTGCTGTGCATCCGTTTCCCAACACAAGTACTGTACTACTGCATGGAAAAAAAGTATCTAAGGTAATAGCAGTGACTCATTGAGCACACTTGGGCTCTTACCAATTACAAGTTCATACATCACACAGAGAATATGTCTTATATACTATGACTGCTGAGCTTTGAGTATTATCAACCAGCTACCAGTCAGACAGCTTATGGGTATTCATCTGAACGGTAAACATGCAGAAACAAATATAGTAATATATGCAACTAACCTGCTGGAAGGGGTTGGTTTGTTCCAAACTGCAACTAAGGTAGTACTTCAGGATATCTGTGAATTAAAGGACAGTAGGAATAGAATAGCATATGTTAGCAGAGCCACATAAATTCACATTTTTGAGCATCTGTTTCGGCCTCAATAACCTAGTGTCAGTTGGACAATGTTAGGTTTGGATTTTGGACTGTTAGTTGGACGAAACACGGCATTTGAAGACCTTGTGTTGGGCTTCAAGGAATCGTTTTCGTAAGCATACATTTCAGTATAGTAAAACATTTTATTGACCAAACAATTAATCAAGAAAATACCTGGCAGATTCATCGAAAATGAAAGAATCGTTAGTTGCAGCCATACACTTACTGACTAATTAGAAGAAATGACAGCGCTGGTCAGAGCTGGTCAGAGCTCTGTACACACTGTTAACTGTTAAGAACCAGAAATAGCACACTGCAATCAAAAGCTCCATTATATTATATTTAGTAATACCTGCTCATTTCTATGTCACTAAAGAAAGTGTAGTTATGTCTCTTGATTTTGTTCTCTCTTATTTCATGTTGCACTGTGCTTTCTTTTCCCCACGTCACTGCTTCAGCAACCACTGTTTTGTCCTGGGAAAGAGGCCAATAGCCAAGTAACGGACCAATAAAGAGACATTTTATGTTATTTATTTTCTAGCTCCGTCTTGTTGTGTTCCCTGCTGTCCTGTTAGAGCTTGACTGCTTCTGTAACTGTGCGCCCGCTGAGTTAATCCTGAGCTCTGAGGTGAAATGTTCCAAACAAATAAAGTTCACACGTGCTGCAATAGTAAGAATTACTGTGTTTTTCCCATGATGCAGTAACACTTAAGCAACAACAGAGCACACAGCTACTGCAAGAAGGCTTAGGCATAACCCTTCTGCACAGGGCATCCTGCAAAACAGCTCAAAGAGCGGTTACATCATCTCTGGAGTTAGTTAAATTACAACATGACCAAACTTGTATTCTGTTCACCAAAGCAGATTGTAATTATGGTTTTGGACTTTTACATGCCATTACAACCCACTCCAGCTACTTCTTCTAACTCACGGCAGTGTGTAGGAGTCAATGTGAAATCCTGAGTGACTTAAAAGCTACAGCAATGTCCACAAATACAAGCTGTGAGAAAACCACCACCGACGTGAGACACTGTGCAAGTGACGTCCCACACAGTTGAGCAAACTCATGAGAGGAGGATTTCCGGTATAGAGAAATACATCAATCAAGCTTCTGTCACACATACACCCACCCACATAAATAAATACCAGGAGGAGAAGATTTCGTGGAAATCAGATTTTTGGTAACGGATGAAACTACTGATGTCTCATTAAGGGGCTGCGTTCAAGTCTTTTCTGTCAACTGTACTGACATAAGTAATGATTATGTTCATTGTCAATTAATCAGTCGATTATTTTCTTAATCTATCAAGTAGTTTTTTGTCAATAAAATGTCAGAAAATGGTGAAAAGTGTCCAAGAGTCCAAGATGATTTCCTCAAATGTCTTGTTGTGTCCTCAACCCACAAGATATTCAGTTTACTGTCATAGAGGAGTAAAGAAACCAGAAAATATTTTTTTTGGGAAGCTGAAATCAGAGAATTTGGTCACAAAAATGACTCAAAGCGACCAATTGATCAAAACAGTTTGTGCTTAATTTAACAGCTGACAACTAATCGAGTAATCAACAAATTCAGTCTAGCTGACAGCAAAAAACATGCTGCCAATCCACAGTGGGTTGAAAGAAGACCCATTTATGACTTACACTGATAAAACAACTTTAGCAGAAAATGAAGAATTTGTTCTGCTCATGACTTGGACAAGACTGGGGTGGTGTTCTGTTTTACAATCAGATTGATTTTCAGAGAGCCACAGATTCGGACAATGATCACAAGATCCCTTGTTTATTGGACAGGGATTTGGCAGCACATTATCCCACCAGGTTAGAAATGTTGATAGTGTAAGGGAATCGAAAAACAAATCTAGTTCCAGTCCCTGGTTTTTCAGTAAAGTTTCTCCAAGTATTTTGTTATCAAGCTGTTTTTTGTTTTCCAAGCATGAGAAACAGCTAGCTACCAGATGTCAAGCAAAGTGAACAAGCAAATGTTGTACAGACACAAACCTCAAAACAAACCTCACTAGAGTGAATAAATACTTAAATATACAGTAGTTGTTGTAAGTATTGAGGGAGTTACTCGGTTTTACAATTATTGATTTAAAGTCCTTGCCTAGGAAAAATTCTGCAAAATCTTTTAGATGTGCAGCTCGTCTTAGTCACTGCTGCATTAATTTGTAAAGTATTTACCAACAAAACCATCAGAATAACAGAGAAATACAGTACTGGCTGCAACATAACAAATCTCACAGATGAACTCTCACTCTCTGGATTGAAACCATGTGTCTGACATAATTGCGCAATGAGGAGAAAACAAAACAATGAAGAATTGTCGAAGTGATGCATGTTCAAGAAACTATAACAGCTATCCTGGGGAGGAAAGCAATACTCCACTGCAGTAATAACACACGCTGTCCTATCCAAAGATTTGTCTGGTGCAATTTTAGAGAGGCATGAGCTGTAAAGGGAAAATATCCAACAACTGAGGAAGATTTCTCTTTTCCATGGCAAAATTTGTAGGTGAAAGTCACCTAAATATTAAGGCACATAATATCTTGGGATTCATAATCATGAGCTATGTTTTATATTAACTTGCAATATCACGATAATAGTGATGAACTTAATTCAATTGTCTTTTCAAAGGCTGAATAGTTACCATGTGTTACAGGGGAAAAATAGAACTGAAATCCCCCATACTGCATGAATCAGCCCTGAGGCTAAATACAGCATCATGGCTGCAGCATACTACATTTAGAGCATAGAGCAAGACAGTGCTCATTGTTCAGATGAAATCACAGCATTTACTGCTGATGCTCTACATTGAATAACCAAAACCTTGGTGTGTGTATTCAGCCCGTATTTTCCTGTATTTTAAAGAAGAGACTGGAAGAAGACAAAAATGTGAAGCTGAAGCTGGGAAAAAAGCACATTAAGTAGGCAGGGAGTCTTCTGTGTTTTATTTCTAAGAACCATATTTACTTTTTCCCCCCCAGGACAGAAGAGGGATACAAGAAATATATGGCGTCTTTGATCCTCTTCTCCACTGCTCTTATCTCCCTCATACACTCTGCTTCACACACAAACGTTTGTTCGTCCATCCCCGTGGGGACATCTCATTGACAAAATGCATTCCTTAGCCCCTAACCTTAACTGCCACAACTACAGGCCTAAGCCTAACCTAAACCTAATTGAAACCTGAACCCTGAACCCTAAAACTACGTCTTAACCCTGAAAAAGCCGTCTCTACTCCTGGGGATCTAAATTTTTGACCCCATCAGTTAATGTGCAGTCAGGTTAAAGTCCCCACGGGATATAACAACATGACACACATACACAATAATCTTTTCTCTCACACACATCACATCATGGGGCGATTGGGCAATTACTAAAACGGGACGCGTTAGAGAGGCTTCTGTGCGGCTTATAAAGCCGGACCATTGCCCTCTTGACACTGCCGCAGATGTGGCAGTAATTTCCAGAGGCTTTTTATGACCTATGAACAAGACCAAGCTCCGCTCTTTAGAACAATGTCGTCTCACTGCTGCACAATAATCAGTGCATTGAGACCAGGAAGGGGGAGGAGATAAACAGTTCAGGCTAGCACATCCTCCACAATTTGAGATGACTAATATTCACCATTTTAAAGAGCTGTCTGAGTTGTCAACATGGTAATCTCAGTACCACATGAATGATACTCGGTGTCATTCATACCTTGATTGATGACTCCATACTGGTTTGACACTTTGGTGACATATGTGTCAGGGGCAACACAGAAATCACTGGAGGTCTAGAAAAGAACAAGACAAGACTTAAAAGTGAAGAAGACACAGTTGTAGTGACATTTTCATTGCATGCTAACAAGAATGAACTGCACAAACACAAGAAATCATGTGTTATCTTTGATGGAACATGTGAGTGAAAAATTGACTGCAGCTTTAAAAACACTACAATGTGATAGGCTGACTCCATGTCTGCTGAGAGCAATCACACTAACTAAATCAAGCCTCAATAAAGTAGTTTTTTGTCCTCCATAAGGCACCCAAATTAGCTGCTTTGGTCTTCTGTAAATAACGGCTACAGTATTATGGCTACAATGCTAATCCCAATTATTGTGCTTGTGATCACTGGTGTCAACACCATTAATCTAAAGGATTTTTAAGAAAACGAGCATGATTTGTGACATCACAACTTGTTTGGAGCCCTTCGTGGTCCAGTATGCAACTTACTGAAGTGCAATGTGGAAACTCCAGTGCATATAAATCTGTGAATAGACTTTGCGTCCAGCAGTTAAACTTTTGAAATTAGTGATATTTGCTTATTCATAGATTGTGAGTAGATCATTTTGTGGAAAAAGCATATTAGACACAAATTATTATTCAAAGCAGACTATTTTATTTGTTGTTTATGTAGGAGATGTATTGCAAGGCCACTGTATTGTCTTGAATTATGTCATATTTTGTCACTCCATGTTTTATAAACATTGTTATCTCTACCTGGAAAACATGATCATGCTCTAATGGAGACACTTACTGCAGAGATGGCCAACTCCATCCCCAGGGAGACCCAGCTGATTACCAGAGCCACTACACCAAATAAGCACACCCTGGGAAGAGCAAGACGAGGTGAGAAATTTAAGTACCTAAAACCTGCACTATTCACATGTACAAAAACAAAACATACAGCGTACAGGGAGATATTTTTAAGCTAACTAAATTGGTCCCTTAGTATGTGTCGAGCCTTCTCATGGACGAGTTTTCCTTTGAAAATAACAGATCACATAAATGATTTAAGATAAATAATGATGTGCTGGAAACGCAATCAGAAAGATGTGGAACAGGAAAAAAACAAGCTCAACAAACTTTTGGCTGAATCACCATAGACAAACTATACACAAGATACTAAATTAACTGAAAATAAAAATACACTGCATGATTACATACAGTATTCGGCATAAAGATGCTTTTATTTTGTCCTATTTTGCAATTAAAGGAAAAATTATCAAAAGCTTTTCTGATCAAAAAAATGCACATGCACGGTTTAATGTTAATATAATTTCCTTTGGCAAATTTTATTGCATTTATTTTATTATATTTTAGTGTCTAAACTACTTATTGCTTCTCTATTTAATATAAACTATTAAACAAAAATATATGGGCAAATGTGTCATTAGTAATACACTAAAATCCTGAGGATATCAGGATGTGATGCTTATGCAAAATGAATCATGACTGGGCTACTATTTTATAGAGCATGAAATCATCCTGACTAAACCATAATGACAAGGTGGTCCCTGATAACTTGAAGGCTTCATGTAAAGTAATCGTCTCTCATTCTGTGACAACAGCTGAAATGATTTCCCATGGCAGAATCATTTTCCCTTAAGTGCTCTCATGGCCATAATCTTGTCTATGAGACTCACCCTATAAGCGTTCCCTTGGAGTTGCGAATGAGGCCAAACAGCACCAGAAGGCAGATGAGGACATCGAACAGTAGCAGGCCTATGTAGCCTAGCCACCTGTGAAGACAAATGTCATTAACAACAAATGGCCTAGAGCAGCACAGCATACCGTCTCTCGCTGAAAAAAAACAGATCTTTAGAGCAAGCATACATTTCATAAAAGCTAAATCTTACTCTACAAAAACGTAACTAGACAAAGAAGAAATTATTTATTTAAAACAAAGGCCAGAAGGATGCCAAAAAGATTTGGAACAACATTATCATTTACTTAGAATCATGTTTCTTGCCTCCTGGCGAATGTAAGTCCAATATTCTCTCTCAATATTTTATTTTTGTTTTGGTTTCTGCTACCTCCTGAGGGAAATATCAAGTTTTTCAGCTGATTCACCAGCTCATCGCTAACTGTGTCTGTCTGTTTGGCGCTGACCAGATAGTGTACAGTGGGTTTTAGAGCGTTTTCACTGAAGCCTGCTGTAGCCAAAAATGGGTCGGACAGCTAAACAACAAGCTGAAACTCACTATAGAGTTGAATGACATAAGTCACCTTGCAACCCCTCAATTTACATTAACAATGTGTATGTTTTGTGTATTTAATTTCTGCTTTGAATTCAAGCTAGTCTGTGACACTCCATAGAAAACATAGCAAGCCATTCAGTAAGCCACTTGTATATTTATAATGTTAGGCATACATGTATGAAATCTTGATACAGCCCAGAGGGACTACCATAACTCATCTATGTTCTACCAAAATGGGAAACTCAGTGTTTGAGATGCTTGGTACGTCAGCAGCCTAATGATATGCTGAACAAGACCTTGTTGTCTGCGCTTGCATCCGCTTCCTACTTCTGATTCACTCTGGGATTTTAAAGTAGAAAACGTATCCAGCAGAGTGGCCTCAGCCCACACTGTCTCACCAGGGAAGAAACTAGTACCGTTCAACTTTTCGACAATATATGAACTCAGAGAGGAGCGAAAGCAAATTCTTCACAAGACAGTGAAGCACTGATGGAGTGTGTGTGTCTGCACTGAAACTTCCATAAAAAGATGTAGCATATGAGTCATGGTCTGTTGTTTTCTTTCTGCGATGCTCATATGCTTATCAACCCTGCTGCAGCTGCCACTCCTTACTCTGAAGCATCAGACCGGAGCTGAATACACGTTTTATTTTTGTTGCATTATTCTGTATGGCACTCTCACCTGTACCAGTCATACAGCTCAATCTTGACGGCCAGCTCCTCCAAGGAGATGTTGGTGTTGTCCCAGAAGGGAATCTCCACCATCTGCCTGACCAGCTCGTCCAGCTGGCCCTGCAGCTTTTGGATGATGGACAGGTAGTCTGCGTGCTGCGCATACTGGCCCTCAAGCTGTAGCAGATTGTCGTCTACTGTACGGTTCAATGAGGATGTACTATCATATACCTAGACCCAGCATAGGGACAAACAAGGTCATAGTGGAAAAGAAGAGGGGGATTCACTACACAGCTCTGGTGGTAAAGGCAACCAAAAACACTCGTGGCAGACGGATGATGAATTATTAAACACGTTGGTATCATTTGTGCTCTTACCAGCTTCTGCACCCCAGTGATTGTGCGGTTAGCATGGCGCAGGGAATACGTCAGCCGATTCACTCCATCACAAGTCTCGCCGTTCCCATAGAAACCGACAGCAATGCCAGCACTGAGGGGAGACAAAAGGAAGGGAGGGGAGGACAGGGTGGTGAGGAGGAGGGATTAGCTAAAAAAGACACAGAGAGGAGACAGAGAGGAGAGAGAGCGAGGCGGATAGCGAGGCAGGGAGAGAGGCGTGTGAACTCTACATTAACCCTATCGGTTGAGACCCTAGTCAACAGGCTCCTTTCAGCTCCAGCAGAAAGACTCCATACAGAACCATGGAAACACAGAGGAATGGACCAGCTATGCCCCAAAACCCCACACTACGGCTGACAAAGGCCGTACTGAGGCTGGGGATCAGCTCTCATTTGCACAGACAGGCCTCAGGTTGCAGGAAAACTGTTTTGACAATTGTATGGGAAACTTTTTCTATAGGTACATCAACAAAAAAAGTATTTTCACATAAATTTTTTATATATTCTGACAATTTATGGGTGATTAATTCAAAATCCAGTCTTGGCACATAGTAGATAGTAAAAGCTATTCATACTGGTATTAGTTTGTATGTTCTCTACATTTCAGTGACAAAAATAAACTTCCTTTATTTGCTCTGGGAAGAAATTCAAAGTGAGAACCGATATCGCTTCCTGTGTTGCAGCTGTTGGTCTTTTTGATAACCCCCATCCTATGCCAGAGTGGATTTGATCCAATAGGATGGTGATAAGCGAACCACTCCGAGCTAAGTGAGACGAAGTGTAGCAGTTTTCAGTCAACAGCCCTCAGTGAATCAATGTCTTTTCTCTCTTCCTGGAGGGCTGCTAATCTCTTCCTCTCACACTCTCTAGTGTGGAAAAGGTGAACAGGGGCAGTGTCACAGCAAAAAGAAAACCAACCTCCCTGCCGTGAACCTGTGGAAACTCTGCACTGCTGTTTTATTACTGGAGAAAAAAGCATTTGAAATTACTGCAAAAACACAGAAGAAAATGAAGATAATGCGAATATTGTTAACAGTGGTGCAGTACTTTGTGCCAAGCATGGACAAAACCAACAACTAAAAAAAATACCCAGAGAAATGTATGATCTCTCCATATAATTTTTCCTGCTTCAACTAAAACACTTTGTGCGTGGGTACAAGCGCACACAGATACAGTAATTGTAATGCAGTTCTTGTACTCATCAGGTCCCCAAGCTCTTTGTGCTACTCTGAATCAACTGTGATGGCTCTCCAGTGGCCCATCAACAGAAGGAGGAAAACAGGAAACAAATCCATGGTTCAAAGATAGAACGCATATCCAGATGGTACAGTTCTCACACCATCTACTTCAAAAATAACAAAAACTGAAGCCAATTTATATAGCACTTCTATAGTCTTTGTTTATTAAGTGCAAACATAACATCCCTCAGCACTGCTGTACAGGGCTGCGTTTTTTGTGACTGCTACAACCAAACGAAATGGGTGAGTATGCAGCAGTTTTATTTAAACATTACAAAGAAGTTTATAACTTACTTGTTCATCTATGTCATTTTGTGGCATTCAGCCTAAGTGTAAAGGCGGCTTCACACCGACCTTTTGGTGTGAACATCATTTGAACCAATAACAGGAAAGCTACCATTGTATGTGTCATTTTGGTGGTTAAAAAAAGGTTCTCTCATCCTGTTTTGGTTTTGGTGAGCTAGGAGTGTGTTTGCTACCAAAATGTCGACTAGCAGGGGACAAATCTGGACAAAGCTGCCTCCTGAATATTTGGGCTGAAGGTAACATTTCTCAGTTACTAGAGAAGGTGCATAAGAACACTGAGATATTCAAAATATTCAGCGATAAAATGAAGGAGAATGGATTCCAGCTTTCTGTTGAGCAGTATTTGCAAAAAGTTAAAAAACTGCGTCAACAGTACATCGAAGTACTGTGTATGTATGCTAAGTATTTGGAGGGTTTTGTTGTCTTTTTACTCGCATACTGTATGACCAATAATCAAACATTTCCACGACATGCCCTTTGTTTACAATTTTTGGATTGTTTGAGTTTTTGCCTTTGTGAACTAAACCGGGTCAGCTGGAAAATTTAAAAAATGTATCATCATTGTGATTAAGAAACCAGACCTTTAGGTGTGAACCTGCTGTAAGTCTTGCCTTAGATGGCTAATAAAATATTTTATTGAAATGTGATTTTAATTTGCAATTTTATCTGATATCATTAATACAATGAACTGTGGTCACTTGCCAATACACAAGCATATTCTTTTGTTGGCAATTTCATATAGGCATATTGAGGGGACTGAACAAAATGTCAAACCTTTGCAACTGCGTAGATTTACTGAAATTAGGCATGTCCCGGAGTATTTGTTAGTTGGCGTGCTGTCTTATAGAAAATTAGTAGGCTGTTTCAGACTAGTTCTAGCCTCTCTCTAATCTGTAGCTTTTCACTGTGTGCAGTGCTGACCACATCATTTGCATATTTAGCTTAAATCGATCTGTTGTTGACTGATGTCCTGCTTCTTCCTGTATCTTCATCTCTGTGTGTGGGTGAATGCAAAGCAGCAAGCATCAACAACACAACTGGTGAAGAATATGTTAAATGAAAAGGACATGTAACTTTTCAGGGAGATCAGAAAACATGAAGTGAAACCCCAGCACTCTGATCATGTGTTTTTACTCACCTGCAGACAAGTGTTGCAATGATGACACACCAGGCTGTGCAGCAGCAGTCAGCGCTGGGCTGCTCCTCATTTTTATTCCGCCGGCAGCAAAGACAAATGGAATAGAAGAACAGGAACAGGAGGTCCAGGGCCAGACAGGCGAGCGCCACACCTCCCAGTAACAGGATGGACTGATGGACAGAAGGATGGGGTTATAGAAGCTTGTTCATACCACTTTCACATCAATAACAGTGGGGCTAATGGACGTCCAAAGTGTTCCACAGAGGAACACCATCACTGTGTGATGCATATTATATTTTTCCTTTATTTGTATATTGACTTGTTTTATGTTTTATTTATTGATTGTAAACCACTGTCTGTGTGATACCAATTTTAATTCCACTTGTCTATATTTTACATTGATTTCTGTAAAGCACTTTGTTACCTGTATTGAAAAGTGCTATACAAATAAAGCTATTATTATTATTATTATTATTACCACATTACTACCACAGATGCTTGAAGGGGAGCACTGAGCTTCAAGCCTTCTTAACTGCAGACTATATTACATTATTATTTTGCTGATTTGTGCGCATCAAAAGCTTGTACAAATATATTACACTCTTTGCAAAACAGGCGCATACAACTCACTTTGTCCTAAATGAAACTGAAGGCAAGCTTTGCGCACAAGTGAGTGACGAACGCACAATAATCAGGAGCAAACATCTCTAAAATAATATGTCTTATCATACTCTGTGATTTAAAAAGAAAGGAACTGGTGCTTTAGATAATGTTGAAGAAAGAACCGCCTGTTCATTTAAAAATACAGCACTGATTGTGGACTTGACCTCTTAGAGGCAAATGAGAAAACAACAAAAGCTCTCTTTTAAGTGATATAGTATTATAAATGTCAGAGTAAAAGAAAATGGAGAGATAAATACTTCCTGCAAAACTCAACAAGACACAACAGGTAATACCTGCTGCATATTTCGATCAACATTATACTCTGGCAGAATTTCAAAGCTAGCAGTAGAGCAACATACTATCATAGTCAGACCTTTCAGCCAACAGCAGCATTTACTATGTAGGTCAGACAGAGGGCCTCTGTGATCACTGGATACTACTGAGGATTCACGGCTGGGACAGATTTCCATCTTGCCACTTTTGTTTTGTCAAAACCCTGAACCCTATTTGTTCAGTTTTCTCAACGATGCATCACAATGACTGACACACGCCCTGGTGCAGTGGCTTTTGAGGTGTTCACGGCAGTGAGTGAACTCTGGAAGTTCAAAGCACAGTCTTGGCAACACAATATTTTGGTTAAGACTATTCTTCTGTCTCAACTCTGTGCTGACTGTGATACAAACAAATGACAGACTAGATAATCAGACTTAAATACAATTGAATGACTTGGCTGCTGTATGTTGCTTTGCACACTTTGACCAGACAGGGCTCACTGTCCAGGGGTACAAACACTATTATCCTACTGCTTGTTATTTTGGGTGCATCACTTCCATATCATCTGTACATGAGGTAAGACTGACTTATTCAAAAGCACCCTGGGTTGCATCATCATGATGTAGTTCAATAGTGAGCACCACTCAGCTCAGCCATCTGGACAAGTCAAGACAACCCTGAAGCCTGAGCGAGAGCACTTCCTTGACAATAATTTGCAGCCTGTCATCACACTGGGTTAATAATTATGGTTTAGTAAGCTAGTGTAATGATGACCTCTTTTCTGTTATGCTCTTGTCATGATAAATGTGGGGAGGGAGATGACAGAGGACATGACATGCTTAAAATAGCTGTATTACCTGTGCATTTTAATAAAATTTGCATGATTAAATCAACCATTTAGTTTCCACTGAGTATCCTTATCCTTTTAACAGTGATACTCTTTACATTGCACTTCTATCTGTACACACTGGGCGCCAAACATACAGCTGCAACCGTTATCCAACCAATGGACCTTTCCTGTATCCTAGCAGGAAAAGGCTGCCATCAAACCTCAGAGAGCTGGACAATAACAACTGGGAAGTGGTACAATAATGACCTTTTTCAGCAAATGTACTCCAGTGCCACCTCATCTAAACAACATATTCCTGAAAATGCTCATTTTGTCTGAACTAGAGTCCATCCTTCCCACTAAATAATGGATCAACTAAAGAAATCTGAACGCAAATAACTTCCACCCACACACTTTGCCAAAGCAAAACAAGGATGCGTATACTTTCACCCCTTTAGATTACTTCCACTTTTAAACAAGAACGCCTGTACAAGCCGTAGCACATCAGTGCTGCATGTCTGGAATATGTCTTCCTGTTTAAGAGGAATCATGATTCACTTCTGGATTTTCTGACTCATTTACCAAAGAAAAACGGAAGTTGCCTTATGACTTTCAGCCATGTCTGCCCATTTTTAACTTTTGTTTAAAAATGACCATCTCTTCTGCTCAGTAGACTCTAAAACACACTTATTACAGAGTTTCCCGAAGCCTTTTAAAAAACCACAGCACCACAAAAGAGGTGGTAATGACGCATGTTCATAAGAACCTGCATCAACAGCCCATTAACAAATAGATTACAGACGGTTGTTAACATTTTAGGGTCAAAAAATGTTGGTACACTTAACTCTTAATAATGCACCTAACAAAACTAAACACTTCCCATCTTACCAGACAACATAAAGTTAATTGAACAGTTGGATTTTTAGATTGTATTAAGTATTCCTTAACTTCTGACAACATGGCCTTCATTAAAAGGATTTCTTTGTTCAATGTAAAAGAAAAAAGGTAATCTGAAGTTACTTGAGGACAACAGGATATTTGCAGAGCCATTTCCCCAGATCCTGTGGGTCAAATCTAAAGCGTGTGTCTGTATCAATCACTGTTGTGAGAGGCATAACCTGCACACCAACTGAGAAACCAATGGCATCAACATCAAGGAGAGGACAGTAAATGCTATACAGGCCAGAACCACCACTGCAGTAAAAAAACAAAGTATCACTTGACCTTAATTCACAGATTCTTTTTCAATATTATGTGAATGCCATGCTGTGCTCCCACCCCCAGTCTTAGTTGTTCATCAGGCAGTGTAGTCCCTTGCTACCAGTTGAACATCTTTATTTTAGACATTTGTATATTTAGATAGACTTTTTTATTTGAAAAGTTACTTCAAAGTCCAAACTCCCCTCAATTGGCATAAGAAAAAGTCACTTTTTATCTATGAGGAATGGGGCCGTTCAGGTCAACTTAGGTGCTTTGGATCACTATACAATGCCAGCTGTCTGGTGTCTGGAAGAGGTCAATACATGGATCTAACAGCTCCACACAGATGGTGACATGGATCAAAAGCTAAAGAGAAGGAACAGGTGCAAACAGGTCGTCTGTCACTCAGAAAAACGAATAATGTTTACCTTAAATTTAAGGCTGCGGACTTGGAGAAAGTACTGATCACAATTATATTCTCCATATTTATCGTGCTCCTGAAGGAGGACACTGAACTCAAACTAACACTGAAACAAACATTAGCTGTAAACATTCATGAAGGCCTATGTAGGGTGCCTGGAAATCACAACTTCTAGGGTCATTTCATACGAGGCAAAGGTGTCAAAGGGGTATTTTACCTGTTGATATGTCCAGTCCTCAGGTTGGAAATCACTGCTTGTTTGCTCGAACTTTAAGTTGAAATGTGGAAGCCTGTGCAGAAGGTTCACCCACCATGGTGGAGAGTAGCTAACCACTGCTGCCATGGCGAGTAAACGCCAACAAGATCCACTCACCAAACAAGCAAACAGAGATGGTTCAAGCTGTAAACACAGAGGGGAATCCACTTCAGAAAGTCTGTCTGTCCCCGGGATGAAAGGCAGATGGAGTATTGCTTATCTAGCATGAGAAACGAAGTTAGCGAGCTAGCTCGCGTTAGACATACTATCACCGAGTAAATTTGAAGTTTTATTCTAACTATGCCTATCAAAACTATAACATTGTTCACCCACATATTATTAAATACATCGTTTAGTATTTTAAATTACAAACAGCTAGCTAACCAGACAGACAGACATGTTGCTAGTAGCTTGCTAACATTAACTAGTAGCCATAACGACCCCAGGCGACCTGAATCTTAGCCGAGCTAGTTAGCTTGTTAACATGTCAACTTAAGTCAATTTTGTGTCGCTAGCGGGGATCCTGTTGTAATGTTATCTGTAAACTCCTGAGTAAGTTACCATGGCCCATTTAAATGTTGTTCAAAATAGTCAATAGTTTTTTCAAAGCTAGTTATACGTTACCCGTAATGTAGCTAGCGTTAGCCGGTTTAGCTGCTGGTTAGTTCGGTCCGCTGAGACTCGGGCACTGAAGCGAATAACAACAAGAAGTCTCTTTTGTTCCACTTGACATTCTGGTTTGCGGTTAGTTACATCCTGGTTAGTTTGGCTGGTAATTCCTCAGGTCCTCTCTTGTAGTCCTATTCCACCCAACAGCTCATTCAAGCAACTCCGAGTAAATCCCCCATCCAGTTATTAAAAGAGAGTGCAGGAAGACTGGGACCAACAGCGAGCGTTCACGACATTCACCCAGCTGGTAGATTACCCGGCAAGCCCGCACTCAACCCAACTCACCGGCATGAACACGACCCAGTAGCGCCACCCAGAGGCGCCACAGGGTTGCGCCAATGAGAACTTCACGTAGTGTCGGAAATATTAAAACTACTTGTCGACAGCATTGTTGAATACATCTAAGAAAGTGGGGATTTCTGAGATATGAGATGAAAAAGCAAAATGGTGAAAGTGAAGTGAAAAGCAAACCTTAAAAGGTAAATTTAAATACCCGTTTTTGCCCACCGAATCCGCAAATAGTCTGATCATGGCATTTAAATATCGGGCGGTTATTGACGTTTGTATAATCAGAGAAGCTGAAGTACTTGAAGGCACCGCTTCGATATGCCAAGTGAGAAGAATGAGGAACAGTAAATAAAACCAAATTTACTTGCACAAATGAAACAAGGAAATACACAGCTCTAAGTAAGACTTAATTTCCCAGATTAGCTGCTGACATGTAAGTTAGACTCACTGCTTTATCAAAGTCGCTGATTGTGAGAAAGGGGTTGCTTGGATGAGTACAAGCGCTTCTTAACACCTTCCAAAGTTAAGAAATTTAGATTACAGCAAGATATGACGCACTCATTAGCTACCAGTGCATGCATGTGTCAATTTGAGGGCCTACTGCTCTCCTCCAGACTTGGACTTCAACCAGCCCTCACTACAACTTTAAGAAATAAATTACTTGTTTTTTCTTTCCTGCAGGAAATCACATGGAGGTGCTCTTGTGCTCACATGACAGTCTGAGCCATGGCAGGAGAGATCACTGAAGGTACTGTACGAAAACTTCTTATAGTCTTCTTAACACAGTGTTGACGTATAATTTTCTAAGAACTTTGCTGTTTTGTTCGGTGTTGCAGTGTCAAGCCAGTGAAATAGATTGTACTCGATGTTTTTAAATTTGGACATTTCTGCTTGGTGAAGTCGCGATGTGAACTAATTAACCAATGTGAACTTTTGGGTACATGAAGATCTCTGAATGAAGTTGCGCTACCTCAAAACCCTTCACGACTGGTTGATCTTGTTTTGCTCCACCTGTTAATGTTCTCTTGAGACCCGATGTAATGATAGTTGAGGTGCAAAAGCTCATAAAAGTTTTGAGGCTTTTTCCTGCCACGTGAAAAACGGTCAGTTGTGCATTGCAGTGCTAGCAGCAGTCATATATTGAATTTACACGACGTTTCATGTCTTTATTTTATCTATCACTCACTAGTGTGAAGCTCTGATAAGATTTACTATGTACATACTCGCCAAGGTAACGTTAGTTGGCAGTTTTTAGATACCTTAAAATGATCAGAGCAAAAACTGTACAGTCTGTTTTGGGATGATAAAGTCATATGATGGGAAATAAATGAAACCTATAAAAGGTGATAAGACCATCACTCAGCATTGAGTACCACTAAAGTAAAGTCCTAAAGCCATTTTTCATTAGTTGTGTGCTGTTGATAAAATATGTGGTGTGCTGTTTGTGAAGCTATAGGTGATGTTCCATTTTAGGCTCAGTTCCTGCCTATTACAGGGAAGTATATGAGGCCATCTGCTCTAGGACAGATGAGCGAGTGCAGGTTGAAGTTTTTCAACGGCTGCTCCAAAGGACTGATCTCTCCAAGGCGGTCTTAGGCCAGGTGAGCGGTTCACTCTTTACTGTGGGGCCAATCATCCAGATCGCTGTTTATGGACAGTTTTTAAAAAGATGTGATAGTTTGTAACAATACAGAGGCAGAATGCACCATATTCAACAGTAAATAACATTTTCACGAGTATCACTTTCTGCTTCTTGTCTTTTACCTGCCTGCTGATATCTGTGCACAAGTATTTATTCTGAAAAGACAGACATAGGTGTAATGTCTTATCAACAGGAAGTTGTTACTAGCTTTGTGTAGGCAAGCAGACTTAAAGAAATGGGCTTTATACAATTTGCAGTCTGAGAGATCTGGTTCTTTTAATGCTGAGATGTAATGGCACAACACATCTTGTTAGAAAGTGCTCTGAGTGTAAAGTCTGGGATATTTTAGAGGCAGCCCATGATCCAGTAGAGTTTCCCTTTTCCCGACCTTTCAGCATATCATTGCTTTAGTGTCTAGTGAGCACTTTTTTTCACAGAGGAATGCAAACCACAGTTGAATTTAGATCTTAGACTGAAAAACAGTGACCTTCAGGTTATATTGTCTTTGTCCTTTTTCAGATTGCTGAGCATGTTGACTCCACAGATGGATTCCTGAGCAAGTTGTCAGTCTATAAAGCGCTCGCTTTGATTGCTCTTGCGCAGCAAGGAAAGCAACCAAGCCCCAAACTCTTGGAGAACTGCATACAAGGTAGGTGACAGTTTCACAGTGACAGCAGGGCAGTAAAAGTTATTCTTAATGAGTAGCTTCGTAATTCCTCTGTGTGTCCAAGGAAAACCTCAGCCATCCCTCCTCTATTAAGACATTTCATCTACACAGGGCAAACGCTATTCTTTTATCGGCTCACATAGACTCAAGGTTTCATTCCCAATAGAAGTTCTCGGTGACAGGAATACACCCACCTATATTTTTCAATTAGATGTACTGCATAATATCATAATAGTATCAAAGGGATATTTGGGGAATATTTATATAATGTATTTTTACAAAAATATAACTACTACATACTTTTTGTTTTTTCCACATCAGAAGAAACGCTAGCATTCTGACCTAATGCAGCTTCATTTGTTTTATTTTATTTTGGTAGAGAAGCCTTAGCCATGTAAGTGTTGCATTCTTTCACTAGACCCAAAGTTGGAAGATGATAGGGAGAGTTTTATGGTTTTCATAGAGGTAGCCATTATGCTGGAGTCAGATCCATTCCCATACTTCTGTGTATTATTTAAGGCTCTCTCTGTTATTTCAGGTGTGGCCAGTATGGCAGCAAGCTGCATGCCACTTCCTCAGATGTGCAAGTTTTCTGCATTTGTTGCAGTACATTGCATTCAATTCATGACCTTCTTGGAATGTACAGGAAGGGATGAATAACAGTTCACATGGCCACCATACACAATACTGTGCTAACTAGAGACAAATAGAGCGAGGCACAGTAATCTGTTGAAAACGTGATTTTAACACCAGCATTCCTCACAGTTAGGAAATCCATCCAATTCTAGATTTATCTTTGTAATCATAAAAAACAAATATTAGAAGTTGGTGCTGGTTGTGTGCTTGACAGAGTTACCAAAACCTCAGCTCGGGGAGCCGAGGGACTTGAGTGCACTGAGGATGCAGCCAGCTCAGGAGGACGTACTGACGGTGTCCCAGACGCTGGACAAACTGCTGGCCAGAGACATAGTCCAGGTGGAGCTCATACCTGAGAAGAAGGGCTTGTTCCTCAAACATGTGGAGTACCAGGTCACCAGCCAGGTAAGGGATCCCATAAATCCTACTGCATGTAAATGATTGTCTTAGAATAACCTAAACCGCAAGAAAAGCTCAGAATTTGCAGTAGTCTTCATGTTTGCTTTAACCCTTACTTTGATGATACTGGAGATGAATCTTGTCTTCTCATTTAACTTCTCATTTCTCAGTTTAAGTGCATTTAATTGGGTTGTCGTAACAGCGTGCCTGTACTGACTGCTGTATCATTTACTATGTGTCAGTGTTTTTTTGTTGTGTAAACATTTGCTGTCTACATGAAGAAAAGTACTGATTTCAATCCTTTCATTATCAGCCATGCAACAAAATTTGCATGCACTTACCCATTTTCTGATTATTTTCTTTCTTTGCTTTGTTTATTTTCTTTTAGCGTTATAAGATATCAGTGTACCGGCGCTATAGTGATTTTGATGTCTTCCATGAGGTTTTGCTTCAGAGATTTGCCTACAGAGTGGTGCCGGCACTGCCGCCTAAAAGGATGTTAAAGGGAGGTATGTTACTGAACGCTGACATCTACACAGTTAGCATTGTATTTCTTTGTTTCTGCATTTCCCCCAACTTAGAGTCATTGTATAGTTTTTAGAGCATTGTTGAGATTTACTGCAAGGTCAGCTATAAATATCCAGGGGGGTCTGATAGCTGTTTTTTGGTTGATAAAGAATAAATGTTCAATGTTAACACAAACTGTTGATTGACAAGTTGATTGTTTCAGACACAGTCATTGCCATTCATCAGTGTTATTGCCTGGAAGAAACAAAGAAACTAGCGATGTGTAAAATGAGCCTGTTTCAGTTCACAATGACTTATTGTAGCTTTGGAATGATAATTATGTCAACACACACACACTGAGGACTCCTTGCAAAACACTTGCTTAGGCAATTTCTCAATTACAGATCTTCATCAAGTGCAGAATAATAATACCACGCATGTAAATCCACCATCCTCTCATCCTACTGATACGTGTAGCTCAAGATCTACTTCTGTGTGTAGATATGATTAATAATCAGGACAGAGGCTTTCAGGATATCAGTAAGAATCTGAAAACAGTCCAGTTACATGCTGTAAACTGCGACAGGTTTGCACTTCTGTAACATTGTCGAATGTAGCTGCTAATCAAGCCTTGATCTGGTAACCTCAGGCAGCAATGAGGAGTGGCTGCAGAGTTCTGGTAACCTCACTTCTTTCAAACTGCACACCCCCAGATTATTTTCCTTTTCAAACTTGTAGTTTTCAGGGCTAACTGACGCTGACTCAAGTGAGCATTTCTCAGACTTCGTGAAGCTCCCTCTGGAGCCACAAAAGGCTTTCTGCAGCTTCTTTTCACATATGCAGAAGTGCTCCTCAAGACCCATAAACAGACTTTGATGTGTAAAATTGGTTCTCCTTTTGATGTCTCTATTTATATGAAAGGTACACAGTACATCACATAAATTGACCTTTAAACATGAGTTTCACATCAGTTTATACTGACATCTGTCAATCTGTTCTAGAGTTTATAGCTCCATCTCTGCCAGCGTTAACACACCAGGTCAAACCGCTTAACGTATTTTCCTGGTGCACTTCTTTCCTACTTAAATGATTCTCTGTTTTCTCTGGTATCTGTCCACAGTCCTGACCTCCGTGTCTGAGCGTGAGTTCATTGAGGGGAGGAGACGTGCTCTTGGCAGATTCATTAACTTGGTGGCACGGCATCCCTTCTTCTCAGAGGACGAGCTGGTCAAGACCTTCCTCACCTTCAGTGGCTCCGTATGTAGTGTTCCTGTATCTTGATGCCTTGTTCTGTGGCCAGGACCGTTGTACAATAAGCATTACAATCATGGTGATGACTGACAGTGAAATGCATTCTGTTCCTGCTACTCAGTGTCTTTTTTTCCCACTCACTCCTCTTCCTAAACAGGATGTTCAGACTAAGCTGCGTGACACTTACAAGAAAACGGGCGATGAGTTCATGACAAACAGAATTGCAACCCTTGCAAAGGTTTGTCACATATGTTCAATGGAAAAGTCCTGTCATGCTTTCATCCAAACAGTTAAAAATGAGCAATTAACAATTGTATATAACATTTCTAAGAGCTTTATTGGGTCTGTTTTGTAGGAATATCTCCCCCCTGACATTCAGTCTCAGTTCTCGACGAGCAGAGAGCTGATTAGAAATATTCACAACAGCTTCCACAAGCTGCGGGACAGAGCTGAGAAAATGGCGGAGCGCTCAAAGGAGAATGCAACTGATCTTCTCATGTTTGGCAGAGAGCTCAGGTATTTCATTATTACGGGTATAAAGTTAAAGTCTTCCACTAGTAACCAGAGGTTTAGGACTGAGAAAACAAATGTTAATAAGATTCCAAATCCTCTGTGTTGTTGTGTCTCTTCATGGCTGTTAGCTTGAAATGAGTTTGGCAGCTTAGACACCACAATGTTACATTATGTCCCTGTAATAACGCTGTTTTTGTCAGTACGCTGGGCTCAGATGCTTCGTCTCTTCCCTCCTTGGCCTCTTCACAAAGCACCTGGGGGACCCTGCGTCAGTCTCTGAAGAGTCTGTCTGTGGAGTTTGCTGTGCTATCCGACAAAGCGGCTCAGCAGGTACAGCCCTTAGTCTTTCATCTCCACCATCTGCTCTGCCATGCTTGTCCAAAACTGGCACTGGGTAATAAATGTTGTTTTGCTAATGTCCTCAGGGCAGACGGGAAGAGGACGATGTTGTGGAAAAACTAAATCTTTTCCTGGATTTGCTGCAGTCGTACAGAGTGAGTCAGTTTCACTTTTTGATTTTTGCCATGCTCATTTAACTTGAGCCCACCTCCAGGGGTCCTCAACCTTTCATGACAGGTGAATTTGTTTTGATGTTTACATGTTTCACATTCTAGGCCAATAATGCTCACTTTATGAAGCACTGCAAAACTGTTTTTATCCATGAAGGTAATAAAAAAACTCTCCTGTTTCTAATGGAGAGACACAACAAGGAGCTGGATAGTAAATCCAAGTTCAGTTAGTAACTTAGGAAGGATATTATGTAATGATAAATTTGAACAATAATGCACCCTATTTTTACAGACCCAGCCAGTCTTTCTCACTTGGAAATTTAGTTCTTTGTTGTGAGTGGGTTGCGGAGATGAAACAAAGAGACTGGTGGGCAGATAAAGTGGCCAGATAAAGTTTCCGTAGCCTCTACTAAATCTATTAACTGTAATATTTATGGTAATTTCATAATTTGTGCAAATAATTCTCATTGTTGGCTGTTGTGCAATACTGTTCTGTATATTACCATGCCATTTTGATGCAAATGTGAAGAGCTTTATGTGTTTCTCTAGGATCTCTGTGAGCGGCATGAGAAGGGTGTGCTCCACGAGCACCAGAGGGCTCTGCACAAGTATGGCATGATGAAGAGGCAGATGATGAGCGCCACAGTGCAGCCCAAAGAGCAGGCATCTGTGGAGCAGCTGGAATCACGAATTGTTCAGGTAGTCACACTCTTTCAGTTTCCTAATTTTTATGCCGTTTAGATGCTTCCTGATTGATAGCACACTGTTTTAGAAATGCTAAATTGGACTGTGTATAATAAAATCCCCTTAAACTCAGGCTAAATCTTTTAACCATTAGCCAATACTCTAGTTCAGCATTCTACTTGATACCCTCATATGTGCATACTATAAATGATTAAACGACATCCATTGGGTATAAGTAAGTGACGTGGGAAGTTTTATTGTTAATGGTTTGTACCAAAAATGCTCACATCAGTTCATATTTTCCAATTTTGAGGAATTAAACCAATAACTCAAAATCTCTTTCTGTTGAATTAACACCATTTCACATTTTTGAGCACAAGTGCTTCTAATGCCTCAGCGCATTTCCTGGCGCAGTGTGTACCCTCGATTTTCTTTCAATCTAATTCTATTCAAATGTTCGATGTAGGGGGGCAGAAACAATTATATAACTCCATGAATAAGAGCGTTCACTTTGAATGAACCAAATCACCATTTTAAATGTTGGTACAAAGCCGAGTCAAAAATTACCGCATACTGTTGGTTTTCATCTTGTGACAGTAGTTCCTCTTAGTCTGTGGTTTGTCTGTGTTTGACGTATGTGGTAATAACTTCAACACTTTTTAGGGTGGTGGTTTTATGGTTTATAGGTGTTTACATTATTACATTAGCATACAGGGTGTCAACAAACACTATTGCCATATGTCAGAAAGCATTTTGTTTTTAATGGGAAATGTATCAAATAAAAGCTGATTTAGACCTCAGAGCAGTCAGAAACAAATTACTGAGTTAAGGAGACTTGATGTAGGTCCAGTGACTGTTATGAGCATTTCTAGGTTCCCCAGCTCAATATGCTCTTAATACGACACATTAATGAGACCTTTTATGTTCGAATATATATATATATATATATATATATATATATATATATATTTGAATATCTTGCTTTTGAGCTCAAAGTACACTTATCAGTGCTCATCATTACATTGTACCGGCCACCAGCTGATCTCACTTGGTATCACTGGATATGATCGATTAATCCTGAATGGATTCCCGAATATTCAACAAAAACAATGACTCCAAAGCTATGCACCTTGTGAATTTACTGGGCAGCTTTGAACTTACCCAACATGTAAATGAAGCCACACAGCAGCATAGTTACATTCTGGACTTAGTAATAACAACAAGGTTAAATATTGATGATGTTGATTTCTGACCATCACTGAGTGTTTTTTGATGCCAGCCTAATAATAACAAAGACTAAAAGGGAGTTTTTAGTTCAAAAGAGATTCCTTGATGGAAAAGAAAATAATATACTGGAGGAATTTCAAACAGGCTTTAGAATATACCACAGCACTGAAAATATTCTTACTAATGTAATCAACAACCTCAAACTAAACTCTCATGAAAATAAGGTCTCAGTTCTTGTCCTCTTAGACCAAAGTGCAGCGTTTGACATGATTGACCATGATATCTTAATCAACTGCCTTGAAAAGTTGGTTGGTCTTTCGACTGTGTTAAACTGGTTCAAAACATACAAAGGGAGAAAGGTTTATGTCAGTCCTGGAAACATGACATGTGTTTTGGGGTTGCACAAGGGAGCTGTCTTGGTCCATTATTATTCTTACTATACATGCTGCCACTTGCTGAGAGCACATTGTATGTTTCCTGAGTTAGGCGAATGACACGCAACTGTAAGTCTCTGCTGAACCAAATGATGTTGCAGTTATAAACTGCGTTACTACCTGTCTTTTGGCAAGCGATAATTTCGTAAAGTAAACAAACAGACAAAACTGAAATCCTACTAGTTGGCCCTAAAACAAAAAGAGATCTGCGGTCGGTTTATTGGAGCTTCCCAGAAACAGTGAAAAGACAATTGCGGATGCAGCTTTTGTTACTTATGCCCCAACGCTATGTAACACCCTACCTATGGACATCAGGGAAGCCAGCCATTTAAAAAAAAAAAAAAAAAAAAAAAAAGCTAAAAACATATCCCTTTACTTTTACTTAGCTATGATTTTAATGATACAGGCATAAGCCTCTTTTTGCACTTTGCTTCACACATTTGCACTGTTGCACTTGTTATAAAATGCTGTATTGTACTTGATTTTCTGCATTATAAGCACTCATAACTTTTTTTATTATTCAGTGAGTTTTATTTTCAACCTCATGTTATGCATTCCTCATTTCTATCTTATTTTTACTAATATCCTCCATCTTACTTTACATTAATTATGGACTTCGATCCCTGTTTTTATGTCTTTTTATTTTATGTGAAGTAATTTGGACTGCATTTCTTGTATGCAAATAAAGTTTATTATTATTATTATTATTATTATTATTATTATTATAGCCAATTAAAATGTAATGAAATGACTTATGGGAATCCCTGAATCCCTGTTTTGGTAATTTGAGCAGAGCTTTGTTGGCCATCTCTGCTATCATTGGTGGAAAATTTCCCCATTTACTGATTACTATCATCATTTGATAAGTGGAGACAATATCACAACTAGTCTTTTTTTATTACTCTGTTAACAGCAAGAAAACGCCATTCAAACCATGGAGCTGCGCAACTACTTCTCCCTGTTCTGCCTTTATCAAGAGACACAGCTTATCTTCATCTACCTTCCAATCACATCGCACATTCTCGGGGCTTTTGTTAACTCCCAGGTCCAAGGACACAGAGAGGTGAGGCGACTTGTGTGGAAGTCATTTTTCTACAGACCCTTCTCTGCGTGGACACAGTGACCCTTCAAGAGGGTCAGATCAGCTTTAAATTGGCTCCTAAAGTCCAACGAAAGAACTATAATGATGGATGGTATCACTGGAAGGATAAGCATAATATTCCAAGATTTGAGTGGGCTTACATTTCACATGAACAAGTGAATCTCCCATATACCTTTGCTTATTTTAAAGTCCAATAAAGCACACTGTATACAGTGTATTTTTTTTGATTAGATGCCTCTGTTTGAACTTAGTCTTGAGAAGGTTTCTGTTGATCTCAAAGTACTTGATGATAATTTTACATGGATGTTTACCGACAATGATTACCTGCAAACCACTAAGCAGTAGTATGATGATTATGAAATGTAGGTAAAGAAAAGTGACTTTTTGCTTTCTTTCCAGATGGGAGAGGTATGGAATGAACTCCAGCCAAAGCTTGGATGTCTCTTTGGTGGTGGGAACGGATTGAAACCCCCCATCTGAAACCTAACTACGCGAGGTGGAGGGACAGAAACACAGCCATGGGGAGGATCACAAACTGGAAAATAACTTGCTCTGTGACCTATGGAAAAATGTAGAATGCACAGCTTTTTTTCCTTCTACAAAGTTAATTACACAATATGTTTCCATTCAATAAGAGTATTTTTTTAAAGTAAATGGATTCTCAACGTCTCGACTTATTTTGGGTTTGATCATCAACCATATAACTGGAAAAGACTGTGGGCTCATAAATCTGTTATTTCATGCTCTGCTCGATGAGGAACTAATGTCCATTTCCAAATCAAGGAAGGAAAATCCTCTAAATATTATTTTACAAGGGACCAGTCAGACGTGAGGGATGACAGTATATTCATACATTCCAACTCATTTCCTAAAGCACCTGTTTATAACTTTACCTTGCAAGAAGTTTATACGCTAAGATAGTTGAGAAAAATTGTGAGGGACAGAAAAGTTTTACTTTATTGAAGGATGGGATCATTTTAAATCTCCAGTCATGAAGGTTTTTGGTTTTAATTACTGAATAAAGTTAGACCAATGTATTTTGATACATTTTAGTTTATAAGAATATGTAGCAGCACACTTTACATTTTTTATAGACACTTGTGCTATATCTTTTACTGCTATAGTGTTTACTTTTATGTAGGGCAACATATTTGCTTTCTGTGCGTAAGCTGTTTGCAGGACTCCCAGTTTTGTTTTATAAGCTATTTTGAAAGGCCTACACTTAAGTGTACAATACTATGAAGGGCAGATATTTGACATGTGTTGATAAAGACCTCTGGCACAAGTGGCATAATGTGAACATAACACTATAATCTATTGAGTTATTACCAAAGATATGTGCTATACATTCACTATATCACAGCGGTGCAATAAATCGTGTAACATGATTCCTTTACAGTTCAAATGTTTTAATTTAATTATCACCACCATTTATTTCTTTAATTGCGCTGGAAAATTTGGGGTAATATCACTTTATAGATGAAGACTATATTTCACAGTCGCAGACATTATAATCTACACATATTTAACAGGGTAAACATGATCTGGATCTTGTTGAATTCCCCATCATTATACTATTACACTTGATATTTGGCATGAAAACAACGATGCACATTTGTGTCTTTACACATACAGTATATCAAAACATAAAGCTGAAAGGGACAATTTGGCAGACTGTCAGACTCACAGACCGTCTCCAACTAATCTCAAATACACCGAAGTGACTGTGAAATGAAATCTGCAAATCAGCATATATATATAACAAAAAATCTATTTTATGAAGAAACTGTTATACTGTGCATATCAGGAATCAAGTTAACTTGCACAGAATATAAAACCCAGTAAAATAATTACTGTAGATATTGTAAATATTTTATTAAAGAAATCCTTGCTTAAGTGTGTTAAATTAGTTATGCTGAAAAATAAAATGACAAAATGGATACTTCTTTCAGTGTATTGCTGCTTATTTTCTTTATATATATATATATATATATATATATATAAATAATGTGTGTTTAGAAAAAAAGATTATATTCAACTGTTTCTTAAATAAAAAGAAAATGTGATTCTGTTAATTCCTCAGAGACTTGCCTTTTTCATCCCACAAATGAAACTGAACAACAAACACTAAACGGTTGGATATCTTCCGCATTTAAAGAAGAACTTTGGAAGGATGGTGCTTTTCGTGAATATCCTCAGAAAAGCAGTACTAATGGTGGAGGGTTGTCTCACAGTTCTTCCACTTCCTCCAGTTTGTGGCTGAGGATCACATCATCACCCTGAAACTTGAAGTATCCAACAAATTTCTTCTTCTGGAACATCAGGGGAAACCACAGGACGTCATCAGCCCACATTTGACTGAAAGGAATTTGGTCACATTCAAACCACTGAGGCCTCATTTCTAGAAAACAAACAAGAAAATACTTAGAGACCTCCTGAGACTGAAACACATTTTTATCATCTACCTTGAGGTGTTACAAGAGTTTATCACTAATCTCTGTTATTTTTGTGCCACTTCATATGACTGTCCAGTATATAGCGTGAATTATTATTAAATCAATTCATGTTGCTTTAGGACTTGCAAAATGATAAAATAGCTGACAGATTTAGTTATCAATGTAGCGCAGATAAAAAACAATTTAAACTCCTTTCCCACTTCATCTTATCTGTTCTCTATGAGGAAAAAGAACGTTACACTAACAGGTTGTGTTTCCGGTTTACAGGTCTACATGTACAATGAAAGATTTATTGTTCACTGGCAGTGAAGAAATCCTTGTTTAGTTCGACCCCAACACGAGAGAAAGAAATCCACCGTCTTCATTCTGTTCAAAAAATGCTTTTCATTTCAAAGTTCATCTGAAACTACAAAGTTACAATCATTTTAGTACAGAAATTTCCCTGATGAGCTGCAGTCAGGGTCACAAAAAGGAGGCATGTCGAAATAGAAAACATTCTCCACTTCATTATTTATCTAACTCAGACTGAAGATGCCTCATATTAACATTGAATGAAATAGATTGGTGTTGCACAGAATGACGACTGTGGATTTATTCTTATATTGGTGTTGGGCTAAGAAGGGATATCTTAGCCAGTATGGAGAGGAGGGGTCATTATAGTGACCAATTACTCCTTCAATGTACAGTACACACGGGCACGTGAGTATTGTTTCAAAACAGACTTCAAAACATGGGAACCTATCCTGTGAGTGCCAATGCCAACATTCCTACTTGCTCAGACTGCTTCTGAAACTTTACACTTTAAAGTCACACAAGTCCCAAAGTCATAGCTGTTGCTTCTTATCTTGTCAAACCGTGTTAGCAGCACTAACTTTCATTCAAGCTTTTTCCTCCATTTATCTCTTCACCCCTTTGGCTGTTTGACCTCTCTCGCCCTCCAGACTCTTTGGTCCAGTGCTAATGTCTGACTCCTCCATGAGCTGCACTTTGCCGTTTGTCTCTAAACCTCACCCAGTTGCCCTTGACTAAATTCTCAGGAAATACAGATCACTGCAGGGCTCTGCATTCCTCCTGTTCTGTTGAGGGCCTCTTCTTTCCTTTGTGTATTTACAGTCTTTTAACCTTTACCACCGACTTATAGGTTTTACCCCTTAACCAATGTGCTCTCCATGCTCACTGTCATGTCTGTGAAAAAAAGTTAACAAGTTCTGCAGTCAAAACCTGTTTTGGTTCTCAAAAGGCCTCATTATCTAGCTTCAATGCAAATGCAAAACGTTAATTGCCATGAAGCCTGGAATATCATTGAGATAACATAAAAGGAAGTCAAGATTAAGGGGAACCAAAAGTGAAAAGGGAATTTTTTGCAGGTTTTTGTGTAAATATCAGTTGCTTGGAGTTATGTAGAACAAAAATAGTACTTCCTCTTCACTTCCAAAGTACATGGAATTGTTTTATCATGGTTACAAGCAGCACTTGTAAGTTATTGTTTTAAGACTAACGCTATATTATGAGTTATTCCCATTAAAGATGATAGTAACGATATTTTTCCAGTTGTCTAAACTCTAACTTTATTATCACTCACATTTTTGAGCCTGCAGCTGTGCCATTCCACGGTTATTCCAAATGATTCTGATTTTCATATATACATAAAACCCCGGGGGGGGAAATGATGCGCATTATATTATTATATATAATTATCCACATTACCACTACTTGCTTTCACTTCTTCCCAGTTAAGGGTGGTGCAGTGGAAGTCATACCATCTGATTCTGTTGGTTCTCCATTATAAGCGTCGGCTCTGAAAATGTGGACGTCGAGTAACTGTGTTTCTCCAACAAATTCAAATTTGATATTTCCAATCTTCTCGAGAACATCCACTGTGAGGCCACTTTCTTCTTGCAGTTCTCTAAAAATGAAAACATCAAATAAATATTTGATAAAAGTGTGTTTTTAAAAATAAACTCAGTGCACGTCACACAGACACTAAAAGCAAATAAAGATGGTAAAGCTATATCTGTGTTTCCCACACAGAGACATCATTTGTGGGGCCCATAATGAAATTCATTGATTAAGACAGTGAGATGTGGTTAGGAGCTACAGAAAATCTTGTAAGTGGATCTGTGAGTCTGCAAGATTATATTGCCACATTGTCTGAGTTTGAATGCTGAAATAAAACTGCAGATTGTTTTTTAAAAATGTACCAGAATGGTGTATTCAAGAACAATCATTTGCAGCTGATTCTCAGCGCTCACTTGTGTTTGCCCTCCAACACTACTTCCCTAAAGGTTGATTAACAAACTTACTCTGATACAGATTGATTCCTGTATTATTGTTGACCGTCTTCTCACACACAGCTAAATATAGTAAGACACCATGATGTAACATAGCTTACAAGATTTTAACCTTGTTTCTAAGAAATCTCACTTCATGGACCGGTTTTAATTTATGTTTAGCTGAACAACACACGGTTCAGAAAGTATGCACATTAATGGATTCTGTCGAAATGTGTCACAACACTTTTTGTTTGATTGTTTCATCAAGCTAACAGCCAACACAGCAATCCCAGTATTCTTACTGACACAAAGAACTAGGATCGGTCAGTTGCTTCTTCCAATACTGACAACTTTTCAGGCTGTCCTGAGTGTTTTTCTTAAAAAGCCTAACACTCTTGGGATTTTACTGCAGGACTCTTTTTCATATTTGAGAGAAAACAGCTTGAGAAAAGGTCTCATTGCCTTCAGGGCTTTCTTCCTTCCTTTAGCTTTAGAACAAACTTCCTGCTGATGACTGATGATAATTCATTGTCCAACCTCAACCTTTCATTTATTATGTCAAGCTTACACACTACGTAAACTCACATCTTAAATGAGGAAATATTTTTTCTACCCTCCCCTTAAAACTTGGACACAACATCACAAATGTAATCAAAAACACAGTTGATTTTAAAGGCAAAAACATAGCTCCATCTTGTGTTATGTTGTTATTATTAATGTTAGAGGTGTCTCGATATGTAGCATGGCATGATGCAATGCAAATTCAAAGCTGTGATGTTATAATAGCCTATGCATTGTGGAGCTGAAACGTGGATTGTGAAATCCATTAATTCATGTCAAACTTCTTCTTTGCCTTCAATTGAAAGCCAAGAACTGCTTGCCTTCAATTGAAAGCCAAGAACTGCTTTGTTTTTTTTAACTTTGTACATAAGCAAGGGCGTCACTTTGTGTTGAAAAGTGGTGGTTACAGAGGGGCTGAGATTAGGGGTGTGACGATACACTTAGCTACTAAGACATGATGGTGCACAATATTGGGTTCACGAGAACAAGACGAGAAGATTTTTTAACACTATTTTAAAGAAATATTCCACACTGAAATGTACATATGTCCTGCATTCTGAAAAAAAAATTGCACCATTTTATGGTGGAAATGTTTTGATTTATGTAAAGGTAAACTCAAAATTCAGGAGGCAGGTGACAATTCAAAATATAAAAATATAATGTAAATATTTAATGCAGTAATCAGTAGCTTGTTTTCTTTTTAGCTAAAGTTACTTTTTTTGGACAATGCACAGTTGTTTCTTCTATATTCTAATTGCATGTTTTCTTGCGAATACACATTCTCAAAGCATTTTCATTTGTTATTTTACATTTCTTGATGCAAGCTATTTTTCAGAACATTTTTAACAAATGCTTTTACAAAGTGGTGGGGATATGTCCCCAGTGTCTCCAGTTTAAAAGACACCTATGTACCTAAGGAGGAATAAACATAGAGGTCTCTGCATTTAGGGTTTGTTTTCATGCAGGCTTTGTCAAAAGCACAACTAACACACTGATTTCACTTATGGATAACAGGGAGACAACTGGCAAGACGAATTTACCTCCTTGCACCATCTTCAATGGTTTCTCTGGGTTGAACTTTGCCCCCAAACCCATTCCACTTTCCAGCCCCAAATCCTCTCTTCTTCATGCCGAGCAGCACTCTGCCCGGCTGGACCACCAGCACCAGGGTAAGCAGCTTAGGGCTGAACATCTCACCTGTCTGAGAGGAAGTGAGGCAATCTCACGTTACATAGCCTAAACACAATGTAAATACTGCCTGAAGCAACATTAGCAGCAAGGCTGCACTGTATGAGCACAGTGAACTTACCACCCTTACCTGTTAAATTTCTGCCCACAAATGCAAAACAATTGAAGCAGTTCCCGCGTGCAGCACCTCAGACAGACATCATCACGTGACGCGCTGATGTGTGAACAGTGCGGATTGGTCAGATCAATGTCAGACTGGATTCACGAGTCCCATCATTTGCTTGAAAGATCAGTTGGAATGTGTTACCTTGAAATATGTTCGATTAGAAACTGCAGCACTGTAACGTACCTTTGTGTCCCCAGTCAAACCTATGAGTCAAACCCAAAGACTGTAGTCAAAGCAGTCAAACCGCTCACCTGACCCACGATGTGATTTTAAAAAACTACTGATATTTACATAGCAATTGTTGTATATAAAAGACAATAAATAGTTATTCCATATACTTATATTTATATATGTTTATGTCTGGAACCTAGTCACCAAAGCAAATTCCTCGTATGTGTAAAAACTATTTGGTAAAGCCGATTCTGATTCTTATAAAACAAGATTAGATATGACTTTCTTTTATCCTGAGGGAAATTGTTGTGCAACAGTACTGTAAAGTAGTAAAGAGTGGAAATTGAAAATTATCAATAAGTGGCAAATCCAAAATATACACAATATAAAACTATATAAACAGGTTTACGGTAAGGATTGCAGAAACACAACAGGTTTACGGTATGGATTATAAGTAACTAATAATATCAGACTTTACGGCATTTCAGAGAGGAAATTCACTTTACAGTAGCACAATAAACAGTCAAAAGAGGAAGGAAACAGATAAACATCTATCATAAAGAACTTTTTTGACATGAAAGATATTGAAAGGAAGTACAAAAGTACTCAGTTGTGTTTTAAAAGTAGGCCCTTGAAGAAAAGGGATTTATTACAATAGTCTGGATGGGATGAATAACAGTTTCCATATTAAAAAAGTTTTGATCTTTATGTGATATTAAGCTTAAAGAAACATGACTATCTCAGGTAGGAACTATTGTTGCCAGTGTTTTGTAGTAATGGGACATATATAGGTATAACGCCCAGTGTTTGTCTTTATCCAATGGCGAGTTGTATTTCCACGCACGCGCAGCTTACTACACCCCACACATGACCCTGTACAGTCAAAACAATGTTCTCGCAGAGGAGATTTTTGCACTCCTCGTTGTGTCTAATGAAGAAGTTGAAGGGTAAAACTCCCGCCGAGCAGCGCTGGCTGCAGCGGCAGCTCAAAGATCCGTATGTCAAGGCTTCTCACGCCCAAAACTTCCGGTGCAGAAGCGCCTTCAAGCTGCTGGAGATAGATGACAAGTTTGGGCTTTTACAGCCTGGATACAGCGTGGTGGACTGCGGAGCTGCACCTGGAGCCTGGAGCCAGGTGGCAGTGCAGAGGGTCAACTCAGCCGGGACAGGTGAGAGAGGTGACATAGTAACAGGGACACAACCCAGCGCAGTGTGCTGAAGCTTGTGAACTTGTGACTGTATCAGAGAGTTTGTGATTCAACTCTATTAAATTTTGTGGTGCTTTTTTCCATCGTACTTTATGGTGTTTCTGTTCATTCTGTTCACCCCCGGTAGATGTAGGTATTAAGTGCTGTGGATTTCAGCTTCCCTCCTTAAATTATTAGGGTTTTTGCTTACTTAAGTTTATTGGAGCAGTTGTTCTACTTTATATTTTATTGGAAAATGAACTTTAATTTATTAGTTAGTCGTTGTAAATGTCACAATTATTGCAATGCTTTTGACTTTATTAAGCAAGATATTTTAAAATATCTTTCTGACTGCTGAGGAACAATACATTATACTGGAGAAACTATTTGACATATTTTATTAGATAATCAAGTGATCACTTTGTCCTGTAATTATTCATTGACTGGGGACCTCTGTAACTGTAACATTAACATTATTGACAATTATTAAGTTTTTGACTTAGTATTTAAGTTTAAATAGCATTTCCTTTTTTAAAAAGGACATCCCTGATGTAATCATGTAATACATGCTGTGATATTGTGGTACTGTATGTCAAATTTTATAGAAATTACAACAAAAAGGCTGGACCTGCAGTTAGTTATAAATAATGGACTATTTGTAAAATCCATATTGTGTTATCATTATTAGACCAATGAAAGAGCTGGAGTTTCTGAACTAATCAATCAATAATAATTATTGTAGTACAACAGTTGTCAAGTTTTAGTAATTATAAAACATAACAGTTGACTGTTGGTAAAACCTCCTAAACTTTATACAAATGCTGGGAACAACTCTGAAAGCCATATCGACGTGCTGCATTTTAAACATGATGTAGTAGATCTCACACATTTAAATTCTCTCAAGTGTTCTTGCTTGTTTTAGTCCACATAATAGAAATCCTGTATTCCTTATGTAACTGCTAACTCTGGATTTGTGTCAACATTCAGACACTTGTAACTTGCTTAGTTGTGGCAATTCATCAAGAACCAGCATGTGGGCATTATTTATTTTATTGTTGCTTTGTAATGTTATTGGAAGTCTGCTCTTCATTACCATTACCATTACCAAGACCTTTAAAGTCTTTTCAAGTTGATTTTCATTCAAACTCATGGAAACTAGTGACTAATTAGAAGATAACAAAGTTCACATAAGAACATTTGAAGCACTTTAGTTGCAGAAATATTTATAATTTGGGGCAAACAAAAATTCTAATATATACTAATATTTAAATATATATATATATATATATATATAAATGCACGTAAAAGAGCTTTTAAGTTAAAAAACTCACCATTCTATTTCCAGTGACCCAGTGTATTTTTCCAAATTGGTAATGCTATATTATTTTTGCACTGCAAGACTGGGGTAATACCTGCGGTTCATCACCTGTGGATTTATGTTACATAACCACATTGCTGTGTCAGCCTGTGCTACGTCAAGTATGATGGAAGTAAAACATTAACACGTTCACATACCACAGAAAATACTACTATATACTACTCGTAAATTACAGCTAAAATGTTTTCTTGTGTCCTAGATCCAGAGTTACCAAATGGTACAGTTGTTGGTATTGATCTGCTGAACATACCTCCTCTGGACGGTGCCCATTTCCTGTCCAGTCATGATGTCACTGACCCCGCCACACATGCCAAGCTGCTGGAACTGCTCCCCAACGGCCAGGCTCATGTCATCCTGAGTGACATGGCGCCCAATGCCAGCGGTTTCCGAGAGATGGACCATGAGAAACTCATCACAATGTGTTTGTCTTTGATAGACTTGGCTGAAAAGATTTTACAGCCGGGCGGCTCTCTGGTTTGTAAATACTGGGACGGGATCCTTGCTCATAAACTCCAGGAGAAACTCTCAAGTGTGTTCAGTAGTGTTCGGACTTTAAAGCCAAATGCCAGCAGAAAGGATTCAGCTGAGAGATATTTCTTCGCTAGAATGTATAGAAAGCCAGTAAAATGATCATACTTGTGTTTTATTTTTGTATGTGTATCCTAAAATGAACACTTTGTTCTATTTAGATGTTTTCTGAAGATTCACATAAGTGAACATGAAGAAGATGCTTACCTCATAACTTTGATCAAAAGGTGGCACTGTTGGGGCATCAGTAAGGCTCACAGCTATAGGCACAGATACATTACATACTGTTGGTGCTGACTTTTATCCCTGAAAACTTAACACAGTAGCAGCAGTGAATAAGAAATATGTAAACCTATGAAATAATCATCAGTTTGATATTCCCCAAGAGCCCAGTACTGTGTCTTCTCTCAAGTTATTGTTTGCCCCACTGTTTGTTATACACAGTCAGTTTGGCATTTGCTTTGTTGCAGAAAGTCATTTACCAGTGCTGCTTATACTAATACTTTGCACTGCCAGCCATGTAGAAATATGTAATCATTCTCTCATTGAGAGCTTATGAAGGGAAATCCTAATACATAAGAGTCACATACAGCATGACTAATGGGAAGTGGTGATGATGCTGAAGCTTGGCATGCTGCAAGTGTTGTCGGGCTGTGCACTCCGACAGTGGATAGACATGCATGTTTTCAGCCCAGTTGACAGATTTTATTTTATGATTCTTCTTTAAATCACTGTGCTGAACACTTTGGAAGGTAAATCTTTGATCCTGGTCTGACCCGAGTTTAAATTACCACTGGTAATGAAATAAAAGGATATTTCTATTAGAGCTATATTATTAAAAAACAACTCACAGATATAGACCTTGCTAATGTGACATTGTTAAGTACATAATTGTATCAGTGACTCTATTCACCATGGCCATAGCATGAAAATATGGGCCCTGTGCAGATGCTGTCTCAGTGGGCTCCCTTCCCTCCTTAATACATACCTTCATACATGTACAAATAACCCTTTTCCTTTTTTATAATGTATGGGCATTTTTGCCGTAATTATAGCCAAGAGATAGAGAGATGGGAATAGCATAATCATGTGCAAATGACTGAAGAACAACTAAACACATGCAGTCTTAGAGATAATCAGTAATGATCTTTTTGTACCAATTTTAAGCTAATATTACTCTAAAGCTGCAACGATTTATTGAATAGCTGTAAACATCGACAACTATTTTGATAATCGATTAATTGGTTTGGGTCATTTGTAAGAAAAATAAATCTAAATTCTTTGATTTCAGCTTCTTAAATGAGAATATTTTCTGGTTTCTTTGCTAAGCTGAGCTGCTAAGTATTTATGTTCAAGCTGCATAGTGGTATTAAAATATTCTAAAACAGGTGTTAGCAAGATGTGTTCATCTGTCTTTTGAAAGGATAAGTTATTAATAATGTCTTTTGGTAGCCTGACAGGTAGCAATTACTCCACTGCAATTACCATGGTTTAACACTTGTTGCTAGTGGACTAAACTATCTGCAGATTGTAGAGGGGGGAGGGCCCATAACAGGCTGAAACATTGTTCTAGATAAAAAGAATAGTCTGTCAAACCAATTTATTTAGCTACTAATAATACTTACCGGTAAATATGGAAGCGTGACAAAAAAACAATTCTGGTGATCCATTTTCTAGGTCTGATCTAAATTGTTTTGTCTTCTGTGTTTATGAGTCAAGTTTTGTCAGGTGAAAAAAAAAAGTTTTGCCAGTATAAATTTTTAAGTAACTTTTTATTTCATCTGTGAAAACAGATGTCAGGATCAAGTGTTTGTTGTTGCAATGCTAATTTAGGCCACCAGAGGCTGAAGTGCACCATCCATCCATCCATCCATCCATCCATCGTCAACCGCTTATCCTGCGTACAGGGTCGTGGGGCTGAAGTGCACCACTACCCCATTATCTAGAAATGACTAAAAGTATTCATGTTTTTTTTCCCCAGGTTAAAATGAAAAATTAAATTACATTTCTTGCTAAAAGACATGACAATAGTGTTACATAACCTGCTAACACACAAAATACCGTATGTACCTTGTTTTTAGAGTGCATTGTGAAATTAAATCTCACCTGGATCACCAGAATTTTTTTCTCACTCGCTTCTCAGGACTTCCGTAATTTTTCACCTTTTTTAAAGTGCAGATAAATACAAACTTTTAATTCCGGGCTTCCAGTGCCCTCCCCATGTATGGCTCCCTGATAGTTTGTTCCACTTTTCCCCTCACTGAGATGCCTCTGCAATTCACAGATTAATAACAGATAAATAACCTGATTAGCAACAGTTAGCGGATGTCATGTATTATGGATGCTGTGCATAATGATTGGAGATAACTGTTTAGAAGAGGTGATTATAAAAAATGATTATAAATCTGTATTGTTCTTCTGTTTAAAATCAATTAAACATTGAACTTTATGGAAGTCAATATGTTTTTGTATGTAATATGCTGTCCATGTAGCAAAAGAAAATCCTTTTCCAGCTGGCTACCTGTTTCTTAGAGCGAAGCCATAAAATCTTAATTTGTTATGAAAATGAACTCCTTTGAGCCACTGATAGATTATCATTGTTATTGAAATCAGATTATTTCTAAATTGATGTTTAAAGTCTGATCATTCCACAAAATTAAAATTTGAAGCCTAATCAAGACTGAATTTGCATTTATGGTAGCAAAGGAAGAGATGGCGCACATGAATAAATTAAACAGGCTGCTATTTAGTCTTTCTGTCTCAGGAGTGATGAGTAATACAGTACGAACTGAAACATTCATTCGGTCTCTTGGTAAAATTAACTGCATAAAAGACGAACTGACCTCTAAAGATGATTGTTTGGAATGAATGTGAGCAGCCGTGCCTGTTGATGAAGCTGATAGTGAAAGATGTGAACAGATGACCAATTTTACTTCTCATTACTTGTTGATTATTCAGTCCTTTGCTATTTAGATTTAAATTATTCCAAAATTACTGTGGGATTTATGTAAATTCCTCTGTGGCTGAGCTCTCTGGCTCAGGATGAATGATAATTCACTCACAGGTTAATTCATTCTTCTCTGGACCGCTGCAGGTTCAGATGTAAATATTAGTAAATTAAGAGAGAAACACTGTCGGAGAGCTGCAAAATTAAAATTTTAAGCTAAGATGTGTAGTTATTGCCTATATAATAATCTGATATTTGAAAAGAAATCTACTGCACAAAAACCTCTTTAGTGTGCCTAGTGTGTTTTTTTTGTTGAATATGTTTGTATGCATGGTAATAGTCCAATGCTATTCAGGCTAATATACCTCATACAACAGCTTTTATACTTTTGTTTAACAATATAAATCCAATATTTAAATATGTCGCTGGTTAAATACTTGAATAAATCCCTTCTCTGTTTTCTGTCAGCTTATGTGTAAAAGGTATTTTATGATCAAGTTATGAGAATGAAAATGAGTATAATTAGTTGCCACTTAGTATCAACTCAGTGAAGTATTACCTGGCAATTTCTGAGCATAAACACACAGTCTTTGGGAGAAAGGTTTTTCTTTCTTATTATGAATAAAATTGTCTTCACTTGAGTGAGTTCTTACTAGATACATCTGCTCCGTCCTGTGTGCTGTGACATTATTTGCTCTGGCGTCAAAGGCCTACAGAAGACATACAATTAGAAAAGCTCTTGATTGGTTTGAAATCAGAACTGAGTTGTTCCACCACATGCATGCTTTCATAAAAACTGTTTGGCTGCTGGACATTGGAGTGATTTAGAAAATGGCATCATTTTCAGATGCAAACTAGCAAATGTTATTTATGGGATGCAGCAAAACTCAAAAATTTGGTACCTCTTGTAAAAGAAGAAAAGTTTCCTTTTTAAATTCAGCTCAGTCTCAATAATAAAAACAAACAGTCTCTCTAATATTAACACAGTGGACGTCTCAAATTGACAGGATATTAAAGAAATAGTAATATCATTTCTAACCATCATGCCATTCATTTCCTTGGCTGACCTGAGTTGCCAAATGAATTGCTCGTCTGACAACATTCATTATTCCCTGAGCCTGTCCCTGAATGTTAGCAGACTGAGCCACACAGGCATTCACTGACACAAAGTAATGACTACTATTATGATGATAATTTCATGCCATCTTCACAATAAATGAATCTAAAATCTCAGGACAGTATGACGACTGCAACTCGTTTTTATTGGTACCACTTTCAGTTTATGATGGTGATGTTTTGGCAAACCATTTGACATGATGACACTGGGGAATTTCCCTGTAAACAACGAGTTTCTCTGGGAGTTTAAAATAAAACATGCAATTAAAGTATTCATGCCTGTTCAAACATGATACTGGAGCCACAGCGCTTCAGTGCATCTCACACCATGATGTGCTAAAGTTTGCCAAAAAACATCCAACTGTTTTGTTTCTGCCTCTCTGGCACTATCATACAAAAGGACACATGTCAGTGAATAATCAAGCAATCTCCTCTTGATCTTTGCTTTTCCGAGGTTGCCGCGGTCCTGCAGAAAAATGTCAGGAACATTATTGCAAACAGGGTGAAGGATGGTTGTGGGAGGAGGGTTAAAGAGACAAGGCAAAAACAAACAGGCTATGGAGAACAAAACAAAGCACAGGTTGCACTCACTGGCACCTTTTGCATCCCCATATCAATCTGACATTTACTAGCAAGTATGGAAAATTACTGCAGATGGAAATTGAAAGTAATAATAACCTTATGTTAACATTCTTACTGCTAATGTGGACTTCCTTCAGGTAATTTATCAGACTTTTACTTTTTAGGTTTACAAGGTTTTGGGATATAGTTTAGTAGTAATTTAATAGGTTTTAAATGATGTAGCTGAAAATGAGAAAGAAGGATTACAGGATATACTGTTGGTTTTGAGTATCCCGCTATGTCCTTACTATTTTCTATTGTCTTCTTTAGATACACAAACAGTAACAGATAAACTAACAATCAACTACTCTTTATTAGCCATTGCAACACTTGCTAGGGCAAGTCTATTTACCCGAAAGTAGCAGCTTTCTTTATAAAACCCTTTAAATACGAGTATGGCTTTAAACCCTCTGGAGCTCATAAATAATAAGGCTTGACTATCATCGTCTGCTATCCTTTGAAGACCAGAAAGACCACTTATCAGTCTTTGTAAACACTCCAAGCGTCTTGGTTAGATCTAAATATCATGTTTCTTCTGAATCAGCTAATGAGTGGGTATGCATTTGATTGTTTCCCCTTTTGCTACATTCCTTTTATCTCGTGAAGGCAGTGTCCAATTTTAATCTGCTTAAACCCAGATGACTTGTTTTTGTCAAGATACTGATCACATCATTCACAACCTTTTGCAGTGTGGAAATGGAGAGGAAGACCGTGAAGGTTCTAGTTAGAGCCAACTCTGAAATCAACAGCTTTTTAACTAGAAAAGCTTATCTGGACAAAGTTATTGGCAATATACTGCCAAGCACTACCATTTTGGATCTTTATCTTGAAATGAGGGTCTACACTTTTAATAATCTCATAGTTATCTCAGAACAAACTGGTGATTGGCTCATGGTGGATAGTGTCGGCGGAGCCACTGCAAAGAACTGAAGTGACTCCTGATTTGAGACATTCAATCGAGGGTTAAAGTGCTGCCTGAAAGCTGCTGTTGGTAACTTATGCAAAATAATTTAAATGATTACAACTTCCACCTCTCCTCCCCTCCCTCTTTGCTGCACTTCCGCACCGTGAGTAAATATTTAGACCCAAGCTACCTGCCTTTTATATTTTACTCAAAAAGTAAAGGGTCCCAGGTTAAAATGTAGCTGTCCAAATCTCCACACTGTAGTAGTGGAATATGTAAAATAATAATGAAAGCATTACAAATTGCGAAGTTGCTCGTCAGCTCAAAATTCCCCAGGTCCCCCTAGATACCCTCCTTCACGCCACGGGCCTTAACGGCCAGCCCCTCACCACCGTCACCCATCGCACCCCTCGGTTACCTCTCGTCACTTCCGGTAACCACCACGAGTCCCTTGCCTTTCACCTGATCTCCTCCCCTGCCGCTCCCCTGGTTCTTGGCCTCACCTGCCGCTCCCCTGGTTCTTGGCCTCCCCTGGCTAATCGCCCATAACCCTAACATCGACTGGTCGCGGGGGAAAATCAGGAACTGGAGCACCTTTTGTCACGCTTCCTGCCTCCTTTACACCCGAGCCCCTGGTAATTCCACCCAGCCTGGCCCGCCATCCAGCCCTCCCGACTTGTCCAGCGTTCCTGACGTCTACCTACGTCGACCTAGCCCTGTCTCTACACCCCCACCGCCCCTACGACTGCTCCATAGACCTTCTCCCGGATGCCCCCCTCCCTTCCAGTCACCTGTACAACCTGTCGCGTCCGGAGAATCTATGGAGCAGTATATTAAAGACTCCCTAGCTGCCAGCATCATCTGCCCCTCTTCCTCTCCGTTAGGGGCTGGCTTCTTTTTCGTTGCAAAAAAAAGACAAAACCCTTCGCCCCTGCATCGATTACTGGGGGCCCAACGCCATCACCATTAAAAACAAGTACCCCCTCCCGCTCATGGATTCTGTCTTCAAGTCCCTCTCCCGGTCCACCATTTTTACCAAACTGGATTTAAGAAATGCTTACCATCTGGTGTGGATCCGGGAGGGGGACGAATGGAAAACTGCTTTCAACACCCCCGGATGCTCTCTCCCGGCTCAACTCCCTGGAAACCCCTTCGGACCCCCCCCCGACACCATCCTGCCTGGATTGGTGGAGTCTGCTGTTCACTGAGCCCGATCACGGCATCGCCCCCCCAACCGCCTCTACGTCCCGTCGAGTGTCCGCCCCCGGGTTCTCCAATGGGCGCACGCCTCCAAGTTCAGTTGCCACCCCGGAAATGGCCCGCACCCTCTTCCTGCTTTGCCAGCGTTTCTGGTGGCCCTCCATGGACAGGGACTGTTGGGCCTTTGTGGCGGCCTGTGAGGTGTGCGCCCGCGCCAAGCCTTCCAATCAGCCGCCCGCCGGTCTGCTCCGTCCCCTCCCGGTCCCCGGTCGTCCTTGGTCCCATATCGCCCTGGACTTCGTCACCGGTCTCCCCAAGTCTAATGGGAACACAGTCATTCTCACCATCATCGACCGCTTCTCTAAATCCGCCTACTTCATCCCCCTACCCAAACTCCCCACCTCTCTGGAAACAGCCCGCCTACTCATTGACCATGTCTTCCGCCTGCACGGCATCCCTCTGGACATTGTCTCCGACCGGGGTCCCCAATTTACCTCCCAAGTTTGAAAGGCCTTCTGCCGCGCCTTCGGCGCCACCGCCACCCTCTCTTCAGGCTACCACCCCCAGACCAACGGGCAGACTGAGCGGCCAACCAGGACCTGGGGGCAGCACTCATGTGTGTGGCATACCGTAGCCCCGCCTCCTGGAGCTCTCACATCCCCTGGATCGAA